TGGCCTGGGACAGACAGATAGAACTCAAATATGCAATACGCCACAAATCAGACTGAAGGTTCAGTTCATTTGGAAGACTTTTTTCTCATAAAGTTTAGTCTTTGAAATGCAGTGCCACGATGACCACAAAGGTGGATGTTTCTGCAGAATGCCTGAACAAATCACAATTTAGCAATTATATTTTTGTTTTCCATGGCATAGATAGCTCCAGTGACGTACAAGTTCTAGTATGACTTGCTCCCTGACGTAGAATATAAAATTAACCAGAAATAACCCAAAAAAATATTTTTAAACAGAAATCTAAGAGGTTTCAGGAAAAAGAACCAATAACCAGCCAAATAAATGAACAAAAAAAGATCCAAAAATATGCAAAGATAATGTCTCTCCATTCAGAATCCTGCAGTTATTTTACCAAAACAATTAATATAATTTATTATTTTTTTAAAAAAGCAGAGCAGCATCTACTTTAACTTACCTGTAATTCACTTCCTATTTAATAATTTCACCACTAGTCAGCATACTGTTGTAAACAACATCCATTTAAGCTACCAACCAAATGCTTTCTCAAAGCAAGAACGTTCATCTTATCTAGACAGTTGCTACTTACATTAGTATTTTTTCCTGATCTTTACTAAATCCTAGCTTTTTTAGACCAAAAAAGGCCTTTGTGGAGGCCAAAACTATGTCTTTAAGCTTATTTCTCTTCCCAAGAGAAATAACAGCAAATGCAGTGTTTGCTAACATACATGAGGGTAAAGTATGTGATAATCATGCCAGTACTCCACATAAATGATATTATTATTGTGGCACTTAGCCACGCTGTTTTGCCTAAATATCTTGAATAAGACTAAAAATGCCAACAACTCCCCTCAGGCAACTTCTATGAGCTGCTCAAAGAAAACTCCTTGCAGTCTTGCTGGTGTTTTACTTGTTCCCATTCCCTCTAAATAAGCTGGTCATAACATTCATTTCTATTGGCATGATCTGTAGCTAACATTCAAAAAAGCAGCTATCAGCTGAATAACCTTGTAACTCACCCAGACTCACAAAAGGATCAGCTGGCATAAAACTAAATACGGCTAAACTAAAGAAATAGAGTGTTTTATCCAGCTATATACTTATATAATAGTTACTGAAATTTAGTATGTCAGCAGCAAGTCACACAACTTCTGCAAGTTGCACTATGTGCCACTTTACCGTGCAACAATGTACTGGGAAAGAATAAAACCAGTTCAATAAGGATCTCTCAAATCAATAACTCAAGTGAGTTATTCAACAAGGATAATATTATAATATGTCCTGTAAAAATAATTCCCATTAAATTAGAATGAGGAGAATTACTAAAAATTTTGGCCATGGATACTATTACATTTAACTGTTTCACTGCTGGCAAAGCACATCAAAAGGTAAAATGCATTATGGTAACGCCATAAGAAATAGAATGGATATTTAACTTTTCATCACGAGATGATGGTATTGTTATTACTTCCCCTTCTACAATATTTAAGTGGTCTAATATAATCCACTGGGATATGCAGATAGAGCTCTAAGCTTTTCTTGATGTACCAACTAACGTAATAAAATCCTGCTAACAGCAACTGCAAGACAAAAATGGTAAGAACAAAGAGAATGATATTCTGCATGCCTGCATGCCTGAATACTACTGTCAAGTTGAAAAACACTGAAGGAGTCCTAATGCCTGTATTCTTCTCCTACGGTCCTCTGTGGGACACTGACAGGTAGAAATGGTATTAATCCAGCCTTTGTCTACAGTCAAGAAAGAACTTTGTTTAAGATTTACCTCTTTCTTCCTAGCACGCTCAGCCTTTATTTTCTCGTACTCTTCTTTTGCCTTCTGATTGGATGTTTTCTTCTTAAACTTCCCTTCAGTCACAACTGACCTGTAACAAAACATACATGTACTTCAGACACTGATTATCATCAAGCAGATATAACCATATATCCCACAGGCACTGCAGAATCACTTCCAATGTTTTTTGCATATTCAGGGAAGTTAATTGCAAATACAGACATCGAAGAGTCATCCTTCTACACTGTTTGCAGTAGACCTGTTTGCAGCACTCTTACTTGATACCCAACACCATTCCATACCATTCAGTGAGCAATCACCATGAAAACACAACAAACTAAACTCCTTCAATGCAAAATGTACCAAAGACTGAACTGCACACAACTTTAGTAACACACATACCTTATCTGCTGGATCTTCACATGGATGATATTTCATGAAGTTTAAAGAGTACGTAAAGAGTTTTCCCCATCATGCAACCTCGTCAGAGCTAGAAAACCCGAATGCACTAGCTTGGAGCTGTATTATCTCTTTCTAGTTCCAACACACAGATGCAGCTGCAGAGATGCAAGGACAGCCAGTGTCGGCAGACTGCCTGCTAGAGAAGTCAGGCTGACATGGCAAGGTGAAAAAGCACAGTAGTAACAACCCCTTTCTAAAAGTTTCTTCTTGAATGAGATGGCATACTAACATTCTGAAATTAGATACTGGAAAGGTACAGTATTGTCCTTAATGTTGTGCAATAAGGAACTGCAACTATGTTCCTTCCAGAATGCAATATAAAAGACTGCCCATATAACTTTTACCAAAGCAAAAAGAAGAAAAAAACCAGTGCCATTTGTCTGGCATTTACTGTCCCACTACTTTGAGTGGATTTTTTGGGTTATTTAGTTGTAACTTTTTTTTTCTGATTTACAACAAAGCCATTACATAAATAGTGTGGTAGCAAACACATTTCACACTTAAAAAATATAAGCCTTGCCAGATATTTAGTGGCTGTTCACTAACAAAGTTTTTGATTACTCTATCACTTGCACTACAAAAAGGTGAAAAGCAGCCATCAGCCTCAAGGAGATTCAGATTAAAAACAAAGAGAATGTATTTGCTCGCAATTTCATTTAAAAATACCACCCTTTTCTGGAAAAAAAAGGAAGAATTTTTGCTTTATTCTTATCTCCACCTTGTGGCAATACTGTGCAATGATGTCTCATCGTCTCAAAGCTACTTGCATTGCCATTTATTTTCCTTACAATCACGAAAAATATTTAAGACCTAATGGCATTTTCAGTAAAGCACATCACCATACTCAAATCCATGTAAAGTATAAGATCTAAAGTATTTCTTTAGTGATTGAAACAATTACTTCTTTTTAAAGACATATTTTAAAAACTTACTCTTCTGCTTTATTAAGCTTTTGTTCTGATAACGCTGAATCCTCTGGTGTCCTGTGCCTCCGCTTCTTAAGCATTTCTTCCTCTGCGAGGTAAAGATGTTTCAAGTGCTCTGGATAGGTATCAGTAAACTGATCATCCTGTTGGGAATGGACCTTTCTTCCCTTTCTCAATAATCTCCTGTACTGTCTTTCGATCTTTTGTTTCCTCCGAAATGCAAATCCTCGTCCTGAAAACATAAGAAAAAGTGAGTTAAATACACCTGTGCTCAAACGGTACCAAACCATTCAACTGTTGTCAGGACAATCTGTTTTCTTTACAAAATAGAAAAAGCCACTACGTGTGTCAATTTTAATAAGAACCAGTCATAAATTCAAGGAAACAATGACTGTTTTAATTATAATTCCCTACTGTTGCATTGAAGTTTGCTGAAAATTATTACTGAAAATTATTGCCTAAACCCGAGAGAAGACTGCAGACATTGCTCCTTAATGCCTGCTCAACATTATACACCTTTGCCAATGCTTTTTAAATCCAGTGAAAAGATGTGTTAACATTTCACTTCTTTCCTACTTTAGACAGCTTCGTAAGAAACGCCAAAACAGATTCCAAAATAAGCTCCTAAAGGTAGTCTCAGGAAGACACTGATAGTAATACTGTCAGCAGCAGCTGCTGTGACACAGCAAAAAGTCACTAAATCTCTGTATTATGCTGTATTAATAATTAATTACATCTTTGCATTTAAACAGTATTTTATTGCTACTACTTTCTTTCTATACGTGTTCAGAACGAGCTTTTCTACAGCTCCAGAGGTATGCTACATCATAGAATCATTTAGCCTTAAAGGAAACAACAATGGTTGTTTCAGTGTCCGTCAGTATAGAACAACTCACCAAAGTTTAAGCCAAACATGCTTTTTTCCTAATATGTTTTTATTGCACTAGTCTTAAGAGCTACTGGCTTTCATAATATTCACTAACAAAACAGTTTCTAAAGGGAAGTCAAACTAATCATAACTTTTTTTTAATTCTTTCTCCAAAGTTTCAACTTCAGAAAAGTGCTGCTGAGGCAAATGCTCTTTTTCCTATTCGTCTTTACATCTGCATAAACATCAGTAGTCCGAACCTGTTTTCAAGTATGTTTTAGGGTACAGCTTTCTACGGGATCTGCACTCCCGAGCCCCGGGAGCTCCGGCTCACACTGGCCGCCCCCACCAGCCCTGCAGCCCCTGGCCCCGTGCCGATGGCCGGAACTACCCCTCGGGCAGCGGGCAAGGCGGGCCCGCGGCTCCGCCAGGCGTAACCCTCGCTAAGGCCGTAGCTAAGGCCCAGCTCGGAGCTGGCCCACGGAGCTGGGCCACCTTCGGCACCGCCTTCGGCCCCGACTCACCCTCCTGGACGCTGCCCACGAAGCTGCGCAGCAGGACGGGCCTCCACCGCCGCTTTCGGCCGGGCGCTGAGGCACCCGCGCCCGCCGTGGCCGCCGCCGCTCCGTGCCCGCCCCGCCGGGCCGCCGCCATCGCGCTGCCGTCGCGGCGCACCCCGACGACGTCACGGAGCTGCGCCACCGCCCCGCCGGGCCGCGCAGGGGGCCATGTCGCGGCCGGCGCGCGCGCTCCCGCCCCAGCTGCCCGCGGCGGCTGCGGCGCGCGCACTGAGGCGCGCGGCGAGGTTCGTGCGGCGCGCGCTGCCGCTGTGCCGCGCGCACACCGTGGAGTTCTTCACGCGCGGGCTCTGGGAGCGCCTCGTGGTGCCGCCCCCCGACACCGTGCTCGAGGCGCTGCGCGCGGCCGGGCCGCTCGCGCGCCCCCTGGCGGGGGCCTCCGACAGCGCGGCGGCGCCGTGCGGTGAGTGGGGGCGGGAGCGAGGGGGCGTCGGCTGCGCTCGGCTCTTCCTGGGAAACGGGGGGTGTTTGGACCCGTCGCGGTCCGGAGGAAGCGTAGTCGTGGTGGGAATTGCGCTGCGGAAGTGTCGCAGTAGTGGCAGTTGTGACTGTGGTCTCATTCTGTAAATTTCATTCCGTTCATTTAGAAACGAAACGAAAACTCTAAACTGTCAGACTCATTCACTCTGACTAATTTCTAAAGAATAGAAGTAAAATTTAAAAAAAAACAAAAAAACAAAAAAACCCCAAAACGCACAAAACCCAAAAAACCCAAAGCAAACAGAAAACCTCCGCATGAGTGGAAAGGTGTAATAGTCAGATGTTGAAACTGGAGATGTGGAGGACAGCTGGAAAAGGCTTAAACACTGCTTTCCTACCTATCTGCAATAATGAGTGTCTGGCAGAGGAAGACAGCTGTTTTACTTCAGACAAGATCTATTTAAGAGGCACTTCATATTTTTAGTAATTTTCACGTAACTCAAGAGGAAGCCAGCTATGAAATTGTGTTACTGAATTTACTGCAGTCCGAGTAGAAGGGAAACACACCAGTAATAGTCTTTCAGGCAGAGCACAGAAATGAGGATAAAGGATCTGAAAGCTGTGGTATTTGGGGGGACTGAGCCCAAGCAAAGAGATCAGTTTCAAAACCAAGGTAAAATCTCTGACAAAGCACTTAGCGGAGAAAAACCTGCTTTGTGCCAAAGCTTATGGAGTGTAGATAGCTGTCACATTGCATTAGCACTGAAACGCTGTGTTAAATGGCACGTGAGACGGGAAAGCATGTGGAGCATACTAGAAGGGTCCACAGAAAGTAGCATGTGGAGCTGTGTACTTTTTGGCATAGAAGACAGGCTAAGATAATGATTTGGACTTGGAAGGAGATTGAAGAACTGTGAATTGCTACATCACTTGCAGCATTTCACTGTTGGATCTAGAGACCTCTCAAAATATTAACTGTAAGCCTCATTTTTAAAGGGTTGAAGTATCTGGGAAGAAAACCCACAGAGTTTATTTGTGCATGAAAAAGACACTGGATTATAAATTACCTTCAAGAGCCAGATGGAAACAAGGCAGTGGTCCGGTCAGCAAGCAAGTATTGGGAAGCAGCAAGGACAAACTTAATGTTCTTGACAGGTAATGTCAGAGTCAGAACTGACTCAGAGACAGAACATAAAATTGAATGTAAATAGAGGCTGGAACAAAACTAATTATTAGATGAAATCATAAAAAAGAGAACATTAACTGAAAATTAGTCTGACCTTACCCATTTCTATGGAAAAGCCCATGAAAGTATTCAAACTCCGATGTGGTGGCCTGTAGAGTAGAATAAGAACCAGAAAGGCAGAGTATGCTTTAGAGATTTTAAAATCAGATTAAAAAATAATGATCTATATTCAAAATCGATTTTACAGAAATTACTGAAACAAAAGAGGCAATTTATGGCTAAAATGAAGCACACCTTTTAGAAGGATATGAAGCCTGCATGCTGTGGCTAAAATACAGAATTTTTTCTGTGTTTTCTGCAGGGATTATTTCTGCTAATTAAAAAAAAAAAAAAGAATTGCTCCTTTTTCTAACTTTAAAATTATAATATGCTTTTTAACAGCAGGCACTGTAATGGAATGGGCATGTTCTTGCTGATTTGGTGGTTCATGCCGTACTCATTTGACTGAATGGTATCTGTCCATCCAGTCATAAGATGAAAAGACTTAATAGTAGAATATGAGTTTCTCAGTGAAGATACCTGCAAACATTACTTATATTTGTATTAAAATTAAGATGGAGAAACTTAGTGTCATAGTTTGAGTGCACTAGTGTGACTCAATAACGTAGAGATCAGAAACCAACCATTAGAGATTTCGAAACCGAACATAAACATAAATTACTCTTCCATGTTCAAAATTATCAGATATCTAAATTTTAGTTATTTATTACCTTGAAAAGGGTATTAAAAGGCCCTCATAACATGCTACCATGCAGAGAGCTACATTTTTTGGAGTGTGGCTGTAGGGATAGTTTTATTTTGCATGCTCAAATGAATTTGTGGTCATCACTCCCAAATACCTTACTCAAAATAGGTGTAAATTACATTTTTATTTCACATGGTAAAACCTTTGCTCCTTAAGAGTTTGAGAAGTTTTACATTTATACATATGCAATCCCCAAACTATTATGAAAAGTTTTCAAGGATCTGTTCTAATAGGGATCCCAAGTTAAATTATAGGGAAACATAAACTATATTTGACAGAATTGATCTCAAAATGTGAAATTTTCAGTTCATACTCACACAGCTCTGCAAACTAAAAAGTTACATCATTGCAGATTGGCACAAAGCTGTTATTCTGGCCAATGTTTTATGTTACTGTAGGGATTTTGACAAACATATGCTGAATTGTAGTTTTAGAAGCTAGCAAACAAGAAATTATAATTCCCGGTACAGTATTATATGCAAAAAAAGATAATTATGTTGCAGAACATTACATCACATGTTCTGTAAATCAATTTCAAAGAATATTTTCAAACACTCATAAGATGGCATTTCATCATAATGACCATGTAAAGGATGGAATCCTTGTTTTGAGTTGTTCCCTGCAGGAAAATTAATGGTCCCTTTTTAGATTCAGAAAACGGGTGTATATTTCTATACATCAAAAAGCTGACATTTGCTATATTGCATTTTGTTTATCGCGTCATTGCTGTAAATTGGACACAGGCACAGACAAATGTGTGTTTAAGTATTTTCATATTTTACTGTAAATTACTGTTTGTACTGTAATTCCAATTTTTGGCCATATTTTTCTTTCCTCTGAAGATTTGTTTGCAAATATACAGATTGACTGGTTAAAAGACATACAAGATTTCCTTTTTTGAGCATCCAGCGTGGAAACGTTTCAAGAAAACTTTTGGTTTTAATATTCATAAATAATGCGTAGTTCGACAGCTGCCATCCTGTAGCTTGGAGTTAGGCTTCAGATACCTTAATACGGTTGGGGTTTTTTTCTTTTAGTTGGCAAGCTGGGACAACAATTTAACTTTAGTAGGAGTATTATTACAGGTAATACATTAGTGATCTTGTATGAGATCCTTATAGTTCTGTTCATGTTCTTCCACTAGATAACCAAGTTCAAGGAAGTCATAGAACATGGGTATTGCTGCATTTAATTTCACCTAAGTGTGGTTTGTAAGGATAGTAAATATATTTTGTGTCAGCTGCTGAAAAAGTGAAAACAAGCAAGTAGTGGATTTATAAGTTTTTCACGAGTTCTGGCAAAAGAAGCAGAAAACTCCCAATTTCAATAACCAGACTTTAACCTAGAAAAGTTATTAAGTTTCAGGGTAAGTTTTATTTCTGTGATGTAGTGGAATCAGCAGGAACTAAGGTGAAAGGAAGATTGGGTTGCTAAATATCGTGAACTCTAATTTGCAGAATATTTACCTCTGTCGTTGATTTTGGTGAGCTATTTGAAGGTCAGATGGGAAAAATGAGGGTAAATTTCTTCAAGGTTATCGGTTTAATGGTTTTCTATACTGGTCAAAGTGTTTGACTATCTTATCCCATTGCACTGGTCTCTTCCATTATTTGCTTGATTTGAAAGTATTGTCAGAAACCGGATTTATTTTTCTTCAGTCATTTCAAAATGCACACATCTAATTTCTTGTCTTTCTGTAGTATATCTTAGAGAAGAGACATTAGGAATCAAAATTGCCCCTTCTGCCTAAAGAACTGCATTCTTTATTTCTGGTCTCTAGTATCCTGTTAGACCCTTATGCTTCATGAAGGGTTCACTACCTAAAATTTACTGGGTGTTCAGAGGTTCAAATAAGGCAGTCGTTTAGAGAGAAAGGTGGCTTTCTTTTTTGATTTTGTAGTGGAGTGAAGTAGACTAAGTGCCATGCAGACACGGAAAGTATGTTAATTGTGGTTATAGCTTAGACAGTATTTATTCTTCCTTAGATCCAAAATTTGTTTGCTTCACTCATGCCTTTGTAGTGTCATACCATGAAAATTAACATGTCGACACTGTTGGGAATGTTTTCAGTGAATTGTAATATATGCAAGACAATTAAGAGCATTAGAGCTGAGGTCAGTACAAACAGCTCTATCTGTTGCCATGCCAGATTCAAGAAAGCTGCTGTGCTGGGTATATACTTGTTCAACATCTACCCATGACGCAAAAGACAAAGCAGGAGATTTCCAAATCTTCATAAAAGTTTGTTTGCTGGACTGGTTACCTTTTAGATATTTTAAATAATTACAAATATATAAAAAATATTAGCAAAACTATCTAGAATTCACAAATAGTTTTAATTAAAATAAGGAGGAATTAGACAATACAAAACAATCTCAGAATTAATAAATTAATCATACTAATACGTTTCACTTAAAAATAAATGTAGATTTTTGAACCTAAGAGCTAAGTAATACCAAACTGAAATACTTCATCATGAATCTAACAAAATACACATTGGAATCTAACTTTGGCCCACATCTGATTGGAAATAAAATTAATTTAACTCTCCCAGTAGATTCACCCGTTACAAAGCAGCTTGGAAAGTACATGAATAGAGTGATTGTAAATCAAAACACTTCATATATGAAACAGCTGCATTGCTTTAAAAAAATCTAGTAGCATATACTGGCAGATGGGGCTGACTAGGAAACATATAATGAGCAAGTTTGTAAACAAAAGAAGTGATAATGTTGACTGAATTAGCTTGTCAATTATACTAAAGTAGCTCTGCTAAAACAATAGATTTTTCCACATTTACACTAGTTCAGCTAAGACTAAAATTTGACCTCAGTTCTGAAGGGTGAATACAGATGGAGAAAAATAATGAGTTTTACCACTTACTGAAGCAAGATAAATGCCCAGTATACTAAGAATTACCTGTAGTTCTCTGTCAGCACTACTAGAGAGCTGTTGAGCACTGTTTCCTTTTCTTTTATTTGCAGATGATGACATGTTTTCCAGTGCATTTTGTGAAAACTCTGAGAAACTTATTGATGTACATTTGTTTGCCCTGGCTGCTAAGTATTATTCTTTGTCCAACCTTGGAGTGTGTACCCCATTAGAAGATGTACTTGAAGCATTGAAAGGAAACAGCCAAGGAGCAACAGGTATATTTATGTTTGTATTTTAATGTTTATTTATTCTCTATAGTCCTGCAAGTCATGTTTTTTAAGTGTGGTTTGTTTGGATTTTTCTCCCTACATGCTTCTCACTTCCATTTTCATTTGTTCCTAGATAGTTTCTTCATTGTCTTTATTTAGAAAATGGATTCTCTTGCTAAAATTTGAAAATTCAGTATCTAGATCCATCCTGAGATTCAGTTTTAAAGGGGATGGGTCAGGAAGTGGGCACATCACTATTTGAGATACCTTGTTAATTCTCTTTGTTTGTCTTCTCCCTGAGTAGCAAGAATCATAGTTGCTACTCTCACTTTTTTTAAAAGTATCACCCTAAAATATGAAAAATGATGTTTTAAAAGAAAAAAGATTTTCTTAATTGTGTATGTTTTGGACTAATACCAATTATATGTGATAAAACTAGACTAATTTAATTTTCTGTAGTTAAAAAAATTGAATTAAAACACTCTCAAGTTGGCATCCAGCTGGACACTGGGAGGTTTACCCCTGATTATTTTTTCTGAATCAGGTGATAAACTGTCATTTATCCTAACTTGGACTGCTGTAATTTTTACGCAAATGTGCTATTCATGGAGTCCTCAGTCTCTCTAGACTTGTCACTGTCTTCAAGATTTCTCATTAGTTTTTAAGAGACAGATTGAGCAGCTCTCTGCCTTTGAGTGTGTTTTATCTCTATAATATGTTAAAACTCTTGACGTGTCTTATCCTAAGTGATAGCACTATTATATAAATGCTGTGCATCTCTCCCATTTTCCACAGTGATCTCTTTCCAATTTTGCCATTTTCCATTATTAGCTCCGTGGAAGTACTAGAATGCCATAGCTAAGATAGTCTGAATGATTTGTTGTGCATTTGTCTTACTTTCTGGCTTCTTTCCTTATGCTCTCAGTTCATCTAAAGCCCATGTTTCTAGTTCTACAACTGTATGCTGCTTTTTTTTTCCCCACTTGCTTTTTAGTTGCTTTCATTTTTATTATGATCTCATTCCCCATGTTCCTCTTAATTTTTTGTAATTCTGTAGTTCTACCTTATACTCATAAAGTTCATACCTGGATCAACTTTCTTAGCAAATATTTCAAGGATTCTTTCATCTTCTTGTCATGCAAAATGGAGCGTCAGAAATAATTGCTGAATATTTTGTTCTCTGTTGCAGGAGTGGTGCTTGGTTGGGTAACTGGGACTGGGACTTCTGCTTTTGCAGTACTTCTAAGTTGTAATTCATAGGAAAAATAAAACATGTTCCAAATGTATACAATAGAATTATAATTCAAAACCTTTGTGCTGAATTGGCAGTAAGTATCAGTTAACTTAATTGAAGTTCTTGGTACTCATTTGGCAGAAGCAAAATACCAAGTTATGGATTCATAACATGCAAGTTGCCAAATGGAAGTTGTGATCTTTTAACTTTAAGCTATTTTAGGTACTTTGGATTTAATTCTGCATTTTAGAAGATATGGTTTTTTCCTGACACGCTAAAGTGTGCAAGTCAAGAGAAATGTAAGTTTGAGAAAATTGGCAACTTTATGATGGCCGTGCTTATATTCAGGATAATTCCATTTATGTTTCAGATGTTTTTAATATGTTTTCTTGTTCTAAGACAAACAGGCTTTTGAGCCTATTCCCACAGTTTGCATACTTACATAGTTCTCTAACTTCTTCACAAGCTTAATATAGAAATATTGGTGTTCTTCCTCGGAATAATTGGTAAGCATGAACATTGTAAGCATGTTGTGGACACAACTACTCAGAATGGAGTTCTGAGTCTAAAGGGTGTTCCCCATTGCTTCCTAATGGGAATCACCATGGTCCTGACTGCACCATCAGGTTGCTCGCACTGAGCACACGGGGTCCAGGAGAGCCCGGCCCAAGTGGAGGAAGCCAACAGGGAAAACTTGTTTTGTTAGAGGGTTCATATCTGATATAGGAAGTGAAGATTGGATTGAGAGTACTCTCTCTACAGGTACCTGTGCTAGGGGTTAACAGTGGAAATGAGCAGCATTTCAGTACCAACTAAAACTACTAACCTTAAGCTTTCTGTTACTTTATCGTATCCAAGTTACTTCTGTAAAGTATTTGAACTTCATTTTTTTCATCACTAAAGGAGATGGTTCTCTAAATTTCTAATGTTTTTTGAAATTAGTATTTGTTCTGCCTACATCAGTTATACACATAATAAGGAAATCTACATGTATAGTATTTTTTTTTCAAGGAAGTAATTTTATGATAGAAGAAGGAATTTACCCAGTTTGTGTAAAACTGGTATACTTTTTTTAATTCAAATTTTCAATTGTCTGGGCAATATAAAACAGTCCCCAGATATTTTTTTTGTATTAGTTTGTAATATGTCTGCTTGTTTTTCAAAATAATGTAAAAATCTATCAGAATTTTCCAGAAAATGCAACAACAGTAAAATTTATTTAAAAATCCATAATTTTCTGCAAACAGTATCATTTTCCCTGAACTAATATCTAAATAGTGTGTTCATGCTACAGAAAGCAGGAAAAGAAGTTGAACAATGTTTAACAAACTTTAGCTAAGATGATAAATAATCTATATATGTAGATATCAACAAATTATGCTTTTTTCATCTGGAACCTCGGTTTATATAAGTTGGATCATGTTTCTGGGTTTCTACCATTATTGAAATACTTAATTTGGATTAAGTACTCTCTGAAATAATACTTCACCTAGCATTACCCCATTCGGTCTTTTGAGTTCATAATATAGAAAAGAGTAAAGGTGCAACATGTGATCATCATTCAAAGTGACAGTTCTGCTTTGGAGACCAGTCAAACAACTTTTATTTCTGTCAAGAAGTTAAATGTCTGTTTCTTCCTGTTCCGATTCTGCTGCTTCTTCTGATGAGCCTGTCCAGACACAAAAATGTTCAAAATAAACAGAGAGAGAGACCTTTGTTCTTTTTATTTTTTTTCCTGTCTGTTTTTCTTTAATTTGATATGCTTACAAATTAAAAGCTTTTTAGGATGCTGTGTAGGTCTTCACAATTTTAAAGTTCAGGAGAATCTTCAGTGAAATGACAAACACTTGTTTCTGCTTTTTGTTTTGTTTAAGTCTTTTAGTCTATTTCTTCTTTTGTCAGTTCATAGAGTCTATATTAGATTTTAAGTACTGTCATAACAGTTTATTATAGAAACCCCAGATGTTTAAGAAATGAGAGATCCTGTGGGCTTTGGGAAAAATAGAGAAAACACTGGGTTTCTTATGAGCTCAGTTCAATTCCCCACTCTCTTTTAAAAAAGTAACATACTTGGCTCTGTTCCCAGCATGATCTGATCAAGGAATGAACGTAGTTTTTGCCTAATGATCAGTTTCTGGACAGATGAACACATACTGTGCAAAAAGCAGAGAATGGAAAAGTATATTAATCCACCTAGTCATGTAGAAAAGTCCTGTTTTCTATGTGCATGCTCATCAGTAATGATCCAGTTTCTTCTACCATCACTCAGAAAAATTTCCATCAATTTAACTATATCCAAGTGTACTGTAGCATTAGTCCCCTGAGAGAAATGTGTGGGTTTCTTCCAAGGGAGTGACTTCTGAGCTCCTACTTTAGCTGGGTGGCGCAGAGATTAGCAAGTGGATGCTTGGTGTTGTCCACAAGCAGTAAACCCATGATAAATATTGACTCCATCTCGTTAACACGTTCTCCAGCAACACTGAAATGAGTGATTTTCTACTATAAAGGCATAACAATTCTATAACCCACCCATAGGCTAAATAAAGAAAAGGAAGGTTCATCTTCCTTTGACTTTTCCCAGCATCACTCATAACTTTTATTAGTGGTATCTCCTACTTGATATTGTAAGCAAATCCGCAGCATTAACAAGCTGTACTATGTGATTATTAATTGTCCCTGCCCTTATATTTCATTTATGTCAAGGTAAATGTGATAAATGAGACAAAAATAAATATTTTTTAAGGGACAGGGAGAAATAGCACAATTTTATAGTAGTAGTTATTGTCTAATATCTGGTCAGGTATTAGATATGCTACGTCTTAAAAAACCCCTGAGTTTTACAGTGTGTAGAATTTTACTAATTCATCCATAATTCAGAAGTTTAATCTTGTAATAATTTAGTGAAGTTTTAATTTAAAATTACTATCCTGAAAATATGAACACTGTAGCATATGTTAGCTGGGATTTTCTTCCTGATTGGTCACAAGTCTGTGTTGTTATAGGTTGTGTTAATGTGTATTTATTTTCTTAATCTGTTACAGGTATCAAAGCAGATGAGTTTATGAATAATAAGAAATCACATGAAGTGCAGGTGATGTCAGAGCTGGTAGACAACATAGTGAATTATTGTGGTATAAAGCAGGTATGAAAGCATTTCTTACTGTATGTTACCACATACCTTTCGAATTATTCTCCTTATTGTATGCAAATACATCATTTTGATGTTCTGTCACTGCAGGTTTTATTTTTCCTGTACATAATTGTAGCTAAAGAAGAGCCATTAGGGCCAAGCTGAAAGACAATTTTGTTCACAAATGTGTAGTTCCAAAGGCGCTGCCTTTGAAGTGGCTCATAATCACTCATGAGTAATTTTAAGAAATTATGATCATCCTCTCTATGTTGAGCAGCAAAAAACTGTACTGCTTTTTGCTATGGACAAGTACTGCCTTGTTTATCAGTATGATATTGCTGGCAATTTTCCGTAAGCGTCAGTAGGAGAGCTGCCTTATGTCAGGCACACGAGAGTGCCACATAGATACCAGGGTATCTTGAGAGATTTGGAAAGGTCATCTTATTCTGGCACAAGATTTAAATTATTTTCTATTGTTTAATACTGTTGACCTTTATTTAACATGAATTGAGATCTGTCAATTAGGAATTTAGTTATGACCCTTTTAGTTGGAAGAGAGACAAAGTTAAGCAGCGATTTGCGTAGCAGAGTATGTATGAAATACGTTTTGTAGAACACCAGTGACAACTGGACACCCAACACCATTATCACCCAGCAATTACTGTATAAGCTGGCCATTTCATACATCAGATGGCAAGTTCTTCCTTGGATGGTGAAGAATTGCAGGATTCCTTTCTCAAATTTGATTGTAACTTAATCTTTTTTTTTTTTTAACATGTAATTATGATTGCACAGTGCACTACATTGCTGTTTCATTAAAACTGTGCAGAGTTTTATTTATGGATCTGTTGACAAAACACAAGCAACCCAATAATACTTGACTTTTTTGAGTAGTGTATTTCACATTCTATTAGACAAAAGTACACCAATACCATTTCCTCAGTTTACATGCATATAGGTTTCTTATACGTTTTTGCCGTGTTAAACTTTCTGTTAGATTCCATACCTTAGACCTCAGTCCCGACCATCTGTTTTGTGAGGTATGACTGATGAAGGCAAAGCTTTAGGGAGTCTTCTTATAACTGGAATTACCAAGTAAATAGAGAGCTGCAATTAAGGCCAAATATTACTGGATGAGACACAATCAATGCGTGAGCATCTGTGATTGCTTACAGCAATGGAAGGCAATCTCTCCAGCAGCTCTTTAAGGGCCAGCTGCAGTGACAGGTGTGGGTGCCCTCCTAAAGTGGATGTGCTCTGTAAAGAACAGAAATAGAGTAGCAGCAGATTTGTGAAAGTCTTTTATTCTATCATAAGCATATTTTTTGACTCGCCGACCTTTTGTTTCAGGCAAGTATTAGTTGTTCAAGTATTGAAGACTTTCATGTGCTGAAAAAGCTGTAGGAGAGTATACTTTGCTTATAATGCAATATTAAATGTTCTCTGCATTTGCTGTAAGATGGTGTTTCATATAGCATTTTCATTTAGATTTAAATAGTTCCTGTGAGATTCAGGAAGGAAAGAAAAACCTGTGTTCACAAAGTAAAAAAGTAAAGCCATCTTAATAACTTAACTGGAGTTTCAATGTAGCTGGTTACTAATAAAATCTCAAACCGATCATTATTAAATATAATGTCAATATGTCAATATGCTGCAATTTCATGCAGGCATAATGCACTTTTATCAGATGGCTTGGAGTATCTTTTTACATAGGATTATTTTTTGAAAAAATTGTAACATTTAATGAAAAATATTTCAGTATATCACTGGATATGAAATGCCTACTGCTCTATATTAACTTTTTCCATTTTAGACATACACCATAGCAACATTTATTTGTGCAAAGTTACAAATCCCTAATATATGAAAAGAGCTTTCCTGTTACCTTGAGAAAAAAAGAAAAGTTTCCTTCTCAGTCTTTAAAAAGCAAATCCTTTTGTTTTGGTTTCCTTTCAACTTAAAATGAATACAGCAATTATAAAGTTTTAGGAGAGTTTTTCCTTATTGATTTTTTCTATCCTTCTCACAAAACAAAATATATGCGGCATTTAATTAAAAAATCTGGAGCCATGAAAACACATTTTACAACAGCACATGCCCTCAGGGTGTTTCTTTCCGATATTACAGATCACTGACAGCTTGAAAAATGCCCTCCATCTCACCTCCATAGCCATGATGTGTCATGGGTGGTAGAGGATATTGCTCTCTGTTGATATTTTATAGTGTAGTATAATAAATAGTAAAATAAGAATAAAAGCAAAAATTTTAATACCATTGTAATCACTTCTTGTTTCATGATTTGAATTAAAACATTAAAGGAAAATAACTAAAGGGTTTTTTTTCAGTTGTTTACTGCCCCCTTTAAGCACTGTTCCTATCATACAAGTGGAACTTTATTTTTTAAAGAAATGCTTGATTAAACTCTGAAAAGAAGCCAGTGTTGATTCCTCTTTGCTTAAGTGCACATTTCTTTTCTTTAATGTATTTGTCAAAGTTTTCCTTGGAAATTGCAGCATGTGCAGCAAGACTTGCAATGTGTAATTTAAGGATGATATAATTCTGCATCAGCATCCATTACATTTGTGATTTGGTGCTGGGAAATGTTGGAATGCTTCTGGAGACAGAGTTCTTGATTGCACTGTGCCAGAAACTGTGTTTAAACATAGTACCCAGCTCACTGTGGACAAGACCTTTGGAGTTTATTATATCATGGAATTTTCATTTTAAAGGTTCATGCTTGACAGATATGCTACAGATTGCTGATTACCTTTCCCTGTGTAATCAAGGGAAGGTAGAGCAGGGAATAATGTAATGCAGTCTATCTTTTCAGTACAAGATCATTGTCTGCTTATTATTAGTCAATTTTTCCTTTCCTTTAAAAACTGTTCTCCCAGTACTAATTTAACAATGTATTAGTGTTTTCTTTTTACCTGGAAACAACTAAAGAAACTTTCCCCAAACTGCAGCTTGTATCTACAGCCACTAGAGGTCACACTTAGGAGTTAGGAATAATTCACTAGCTGTCTCTTGTGTCCAAATGCTGCTTTTCACAGAAATAGTTAAAAACTTCAAGAAGTGGAGGTGTGCATATTCTGCATAACTGTAATATCTTTTACATGAAAGAGTAGGTAAAATCATTCCCTGAACAATTTTCTTTCCTTTTTAAATGATAGAATCACAGACTGAGTAAGGTTGGAAAGGGTGATCTGGTCCAACTGCTGTTCAGGCAGGGTCATCCTAGAGTACCTTGCACAGGATTGCGTCCAGACGGCTCTTGAATATTTCCAGTGAGAGAGACTCCAAAAAACCTCTCTGGGCAATCTGTTCTGTGCATGGTCACCTGCACAGTAAAGTTCTTCCTCGTATTCATGTGGAACTTCCTCTGCATCAGTTTCTGCCTGTTGCCTCCTGTCCTTCTTGCTTGGCACCACGAGGAGAGCCTGGATCCATCCTCTTGGCACCCTCCCTTCAGATACTTATAGACATTGATGAGGTCCCCTATCAGATGTCTCTTCTTGAGGTTGAACAGGCCTAGATCTCTCAGCCTTTCCTCGTAAGAGAGATGCTCCAGTTCCTTAATCTTCGTAGCCCTTCACTGGACCTGCTTCAGGGGCTCCATGTCTCTCTTGTACTGAGGAACCCAGAACTGGACACAGCACTTCAAATGCAGTCACACAGCACTTCAAATGCAGTCTCACCAGGTTTGAACAGAGGAGAATATTGGTGATAAATGTGACAAATAAATGTAGTTTTCAGAAGTATGCTTAGATTATATAAATTCTATTTCACTAAATCCACTCCTGTACAGATGGATGTAGCATACCTAGATTACAAATATACAGCAATATCACATGATAACTGCAGATGAGAAAACCATATGCAGCCTGGGTAAACAATTTTACCTAATAGCATGTGTTCTCCACTGTTCTGTGTAGTTGCTAGTGACATTGGCTCAAATTTTTCTTTCTAATTCCATGACTGTCCAAATCTTTTTTATTAGAGTAATAATTAGAGTAATAAGAATAAGTCTTTGTTTCTCATTCAGTGAGACTATTGCTGTATTGAGTATTCTTACCTGGTAAAAAACTACGCAGTTGACTTTAAGATCATAGGATCATATAATCAACTGGGTTGGAAAAGACCTCCAAAATCATCAAGTCTAACCCTTGATCCAACACCACCATGGTTACTAGACCATGACACTAAGTGCCACATTCAGTCTCATCTTAAAGACCTTCAGGGACAGTGAATCCACCACCTCCCTGGGCAGCCCATTCCAATGTCTGATTACTCTCTCTGTAAGAAATTTCTTCCTAATATCCAACCTAAACTTCCCTTGGCAAAGCTTAAGATCGTGCCCTCTTGTCCTACTGCTGGTTGCCTGGGAGAAGAGACCGACCCCCACCTGGCTACAACCTCCTTTCAGGTAGTTGTAGAGAGTGATGAGGTCTCTCCTGAGCCTCCTCTTCTCCAGGCTAAACAACCCCAGCTTCTCCTCATAGAACTTGCATTCGATTCCCTTTACCAGCCTTGTTGCTCTTCTCTGGACCTGCTCCAGCACCTCAGTATCCTTCCTGAACTGAGGGGCCCAGAACTGGACACAGTACTCAAGCTGCGGCCTCACCAGTGCTGAGTACAGGGGAAGAATCACTGCCTTAACCCTGCTGGCCACACTGTTCCTGATCCAGGCCAGGATGCCATTGGCCTTCTTGGCCACCTGGGCACACTGCTGGCTCATGTTCAGCTTCCTGTCAATTCAAACTCCCAGGTCCCTTTCTGCCTGGTTGCTCTCCAGCCACTCTGTCCCCAGCCTGTAGTGCTGCATGGGGTTGTTGTGGCCAAAGTACAGGACCTGGCACTTGGTCCTGTTGAACCTCATCCTGTTGGAATCAGACTGTCTCTCCTGCTTGTCCAGGTCCCTCTGCAGAGCCCTCCTGCCTTCCAGCAGATCAACAGTCCCTGCCAACTTGGTGTCATCTGCAAATTTGCTAATGGTACACTCAATCGTCTCATGCAGATCATCAATAAAGATATTAAACAGAACTGGGCCCAACACTGATTGGAGACACCACTAGTGACCGGCCGCCAACTGGATGTAGCACCATTCCCCACCACTCTCTGGGCCTGGCCCTCCAACCAGTTCCTAACCCAGCAGAGAGTGCCCCTGTCCAAGCCGTGGGCTGCCACCTTTTCCAGGAGTATGCTGTGGGAGATGTTGTCAAAGGCTTTGCTGAAGTCCAGACAGACCACATCCACAGCCTTCCCCTCATCCACCAGGCGGGTCACCTGATCATAAAAGGAGATCAGGTTGGTCAGACAGGACCTGCCCTTCTTAAACCCGTGCTGGCTGGGTTTAGGAAGGGATGGATCTGTGTAGCGTATGCTGCAATTTGTACATAGAGATATCAGTGTAAGCTTTCTTATGAATGTCTGACAGACCAAGAACAAGACAGAGATGTTCTAGAAGCAAACACTTTCATCACTTTTCAGCAACATCTACAAAGAGGTCATTGTATCTAGTCAATATAATTTTTGGTAGATACCTGGACAGAAGTGAACATTATAATTTTTTTTCCTTAGAGAAATGTCATTCTGCCAGTTCTTATAAAATATTGTGTATTTGTAATTTGTATTTATTACAAATTAAAACATACATAATGTAAAGCTGTGATGATGTACTGAAAGGTCTCAGGTTACTGTTGTTTCTGGTAATACGCTGTATGGGGTTTTCCTTTCTATGTTAGATCAGTCACTGTACTAGCACATGGTATCAACTATAAGACAAACTAAACTGTCAGCTATCACTCATTCCTCCAGAATAGCAGTGGTAAGTACATGTGACATATGAGCCTCTTTGTTTTATTACAAAAGCATCTTCACATTAAACAAAGCTGCATGGATTGTTTTCACAAAGTGGGAAAGCAGTATAAATAAGCATTCTGACATAAAAGGGGGTATTAATGTCACCTGTCCTTAGGTGACATCTGAAGTGATTACATTAGGCACGGAATCTGAAGATGCTCTTTTCCTGTACACTTAGTGGTAGTAGGCTCCTTGGTATAGGAATTAAGTGCCTAAAGCTGAATACTGTGAGTGGTTGATTTGCTGACTGTATATCCTGATCCAATTTAGCAAGGGCAGATGGAGTTCCTGGTGGTTTGTGCTTATTTTCTGTAGCAGAGGGAAATTTGGTGTCAAAAAATATACTGAGAATCTTTCTCAGAAGAGTCAGGATGTACATTGCGTGAGCATTGCAATGTCTTTTTTCTAGACCAAATCAGTTAAGACTTAATTCTGTGTTTTAAAGTCAGGAGGTGGACCAACAAAGCAAAAGAGCTAACTGAGTTGGGAAGGATGGTACTGATAATGTAGCTATTCAATCCATGCTTAATTTTTTAGGAAATTATTTTGCATATGAAGTGTGCCTTGTTGCTCATAATTATAGCAATTTTTTTTTCTTTTTTATTTCCCCCCTCCATTATCTAGGTGATTGATATAGGTTCTGGAAAAGGCTACCTGAGTTCATTTTTGTCCATGCAATACAACTTAAAAGTTTATGGAATTGACTCCTCCAACTCCAACACAGATGGTGCTCATGAAAGGAACAGAAAACTGAAGAAACACTGGAGAGCATATCAGAGTCGAGGAAGAGCAAACCTCAAAACCCAGAGTTTGGAAAAGACAAATGACAGGCCAGTGGAAAGTGAAATGAAATCTAAAACGATCAATGAAGAGCTCTTAAATAATGCCAAAAGTCTTCAAAGTCGGGACCAAGTGATTATGCAAGATTTAGTTCCTTCTTGTGGTTTCACAGAAATGGGTACATTTGAAACCAGGACAGAAACTGAAGCTGATTTGATGCCTCAGACAAAATCTCATGAGGGCAAACTTTCTGAAGAGGTTCTTGCTATTCTAAATGTTCTGCCTGCTGATGCTGTAGAAGTTTTTTCTTCATCTCATCGTAACTGGGGGGAACTCTGTGAAGAGGAAAAAGTGCAAAGAAAAAAGACATCTCTCAAAACTAAAGCAACAAAGTCGAGTGAATCGAACCTCTATTTACCCTTAACCTCTTGCATCACTGCAGAAACAGAACTCAGTGACATCGTAACAGATCTGGAGGTTATTTTACTATACATATTTACTATATTTAGATTGTACATTGTCTCTATTGCCATTTTCATATGTACATAATGTTTGCTGGGTGTACACAGGGTGCTATCTGTGGTGTAAACGAATATTCTGGCACAAAGATGGTTTTCAGCCAGGTAGCAGAAGTACGTCTAGCAAATACAGGTTGTTTTTCTATTTTAATATATGTGTTGGGACTATTTTGAAGCAGCTTTTAGAATTTATGAGGTAGATAATAATCAGCTGTCAAAATTAACAGCATATATATTGGCACATTTAATTATTTTACAACTGTCATTATAGATAAAATAAATCTATTATGTAAGGGGTTATATTTATCAAGTATATGAATATATATTAGAGTTTCAATTTTCCTGAATTTTCTAACTTCTTAAGTCAACTATCACTAACTAAAAAAGATTTTTCTAATTTCAGTCAAACTGGGAAGGCATAGGAGAATTTATTGTGTATGGTACTCAAGATGAAGAGTTTGTAAACAGCGTTTTTATTTTGACTTTCCAGAGTAATTTAATTTAGTAATTTACTAGCTGGCAGAGTTTGTGTCTACCCAAACAAGCCCAAACTCAGCTGCCGAAAGACAGTGATACAAGTCTGGGAGCTCTGTGGTTGTATGTTTAGTTCCTACGCCTGAACTAACTAATGTACATTGGTTGAGTTAGATGCATTCTGTCTTTTATGGAATGATAAAAACATGCCTATGTGCAGTAGTAACCAAACTACTATATTCCAGGGTGTAATTCATCTCTGATTCAGGACCATAGGTTTGTGCTGATGGTCCTGTAACTTGGGCAAATAAATGCTACCGAGTATCTGAGAATGTGTGGAGCAAGCTCATGTCTGTATGCAAAAGACACCCTGAGCAGCAGGGTTTGTTGATGAAACATACGCCTTTACATTTGTATCCACTTAGCATGTAATATGTATGATGTAAAAAGTAGAAGAAATCCTATAACACTGCCTTTCTTTATGGTGAAAGAGTAAAGGGGAGGTTTTACTGTTTTGCACATGTATGTACTATGTAATACAGATGCGTGAGAAAATCAGATAGACAGGTATCCCAAGTGACTGACCCTGGGCTAATTTCATGTTGATAACCTGGAGAAGAGAAGGCTCTGGGGAGACCTTATAGCACCTTCCTATACCTAAAGGGGGCCTACAAGAAGACTGGAGAGGGAACTTTTACAAGGGTATGGAGTGATACGAGAAGGGGGAACTGCCTTAAGATGAGGGAGGGTAGGTTTAGGTTTGGTATTAGGAAGAAATTCTTTACTGTAGGGTGGCGAGACACTGGAACAGGTTACTTTGAGAAGCTGTGGATGCTCCGTCCTTGGAAATGTTCAAGGCCAGATGAGATGGGGCTTTGAGCAACCTGATCCACTGGAAGGTGTTCCTCCCCATGGCAGGGGGTTGAAACAACATGATCTTTAAGGTCCCTTCCAACCCTAACCGTTCCATGATTCTGTAATTCTGTGATTAATAAATATGGATGAAATTCAAAGCAACACCACGTTTACCGTGCAGATTCCAACTAATAATGCCAGAAGGGAAATATGTTGTTATGAATAGTGAGAAGAGGGAAAATTTTGATGGAGAAATGGAGGGAAAAGGGAAATTGCAGAAAAAAGAAAGCAGGAAATAGAATGGACAGAGGAACAGAGCATCTGAAGCTGAAGTTCTTCCTTTGTACCTTGGAACAAAATGGCCATTCGTTGAACAGGAGCAGGCATACTGAGAAACTGTGCCAGTACTACAGTTTTGGAAATAACAAAGCCTGCTCTTCACCTTCCATCTGTATTTAGGAAGTAGTTTTGATTTCAGCAACTTAAAGGTGCAGAAATTCCATTGATATGTCCATCCAGATTTACAGCAGTAAATCTTAAGTAAGAAAAAGAAGTAGCAATGGTACTAATAACAAGAACAGGACAGCTAGGAAAGACAAGAGAAAATGGTCTGTGTCCAGTCAACATGTAGATGTTCCCTTCCATGCAGCTGTTGTTCATAGTCTTGAACCTCTCATGTCTCATGGTTGGTTTTCACCATGTTTTTTTAGCACTGAAGACCTTTTATGAATATTGAAAAATTCCAGGACAGAACAGCAGGAGTCTTTGTGGAGTTGTGTATTTTTGCCCTACAGCTCACTAACCATTTGCAGATTATTCGGATTTTGGAGTTTGTTATTATTCATACTCTTTCAGTTGATGAGGGAGATGCTTTATTATTGCCTCTTTTTTTAAATTCTTCTTTCTAGGACTGTGTGATGGTGGGTCTACATACTTGTGGAGATCTGGCTGCAAATACACTACGTATTTTTGCTGCCAAACCTGAAGTCAAAGCAGTTTGCAGTGTGGGCTGCTGCTACCATCTGTTGTCAGAACAATTTGAAAAACAAGAAGGTAAATCTTCTGAGCTTAACTTGTGGCTGCAAGTTTGCATATTGAGAATATTATACCTTTTAAAAACCTCCTTGTGTTTTTTCCTTTCCATTGGCTTATTTAGAACTTGTTTTAATAATGTTATGTGGGTCATTCACTCCCGGATGCCCTGTAGCTTTTCCGTTATGCCAATATTCCTAATATTCTTACTGAGATTAGGGACATTAATGCATAATGCTTTTATGTGGTTATGCATACAGCTGGGTTTATTCCATTGCTTCACTTATAAATGTGGAGGCTTTTTTGGTCCAGTATGTTTCTCTCCTTTCAAAATATTTTGTACCAAACTCTGTCCTTGGGTGTCTACATGCAACATCCCGTTATATTGAGTTGTACATATACAACTATGAGGAGAATTAAGTTCTTGTAATGTAAGGTAATACTCAAAAAACCACCAATTTTGGTGCTGTGATCTGGGTCATTGCCAGTTTAGACCATCATGTACATACATAACAGTTTTTCTTGGGGACACAATCTGAAAATTATTTTGGGATTCACACTATAGGCAAATTTTCCTTCAAATGTGAAGGTTTTTCATTTTTGATAGAAAGCTGGTATTTTTACTTGGAAGTTCTTTTACCTGAAATTCTGCATAATGATAAACATTTAAGCAGCTGGCTTTCCTGAGGCAAGTGGTACATAGCTGAGCTGCCTAAATGACCAGATGCCAAAGTCCTAGAACCTGATCATTATATCAAGCAAACCCGAGAAAGGGGTGGATTGGCAAATTTTATTTCAGCTCTTTCAGAGAACTTCACAGAGAGAAAGGCAGGTGAAACCCAGCTGTTGCTCTTTAACAGTTAGCTGCTCAGGCAGTCTGTTCCAGATTGATCGTGACTGATATGCTAGCTCTTACTTCCTTTAATAATCTTTTCATGTTGTTTTTGTTTTGCTCTGCAACAATTTTAAAGTGTTTTTGAAGTGTATTAGTTATTTCACAATACTTCAGCTCACTCCAAAACCAAAAGGAAAATACAATTGAAGTCCCTAAGTCATAGAAATGCAATTAGTAAAAAATCATACAATTCCTTTTACACCAAAGCTTTAAGAAATTAAGAACTTTCCATGTACTTGTGTTTGAGTCTGAGTATCTGAAACATTTGGTTGTTTCTTATTATTGTGAAGAGGACATGGCTTCCTGTTCTAGCTGTAGGATTATGTTTTCCAGACCAGTGCATAAGGCTGTACCAGATTATTATTACTCAGACACCACCAAAGAATCAGGTGTTCTAAGTTCAAACAAACAGATATACACGCATTGTAATAAAAGAAACTGCAGTTTCATAGCAGTATGGAAACGAAGCCAAATTGCATGTTGGAATTTCTAGCTGTTTGATTTTTCTCAGCTTGAAGGATAAAAATTTGGACAGAATAAAAGAAAATTACAGTATTTTTTTTCTTGGAAAAGAACACATCATGCCAGTGATGCTGAAAAAAATAGATTTTTTTTTTTGGTACTGTTACTATGAGGGTGCATATTCTAATGCTGTTGTATTCCCCTGCTAAGTCATGTACTGTGTGGCTTGTTTATAAATGTGCAGTGGAGAGCTAAGAGTGCAAGGACTGACAATATCTAAAATTTCTTCAAAGGAAAAATGAGAAAGAGTTCAGACTATATCATGTGTCTGCTCTACCTGTGCATGGATTTCAAACTGACAAAGCATTCTAGGGGGTGCTAGAGGACTGTAACTAATCAGATGATATTGATCCAACAATTCACTTGTACAAGCAGTAAACTAATTTCTCTTGCAGCTCTCTGATGCGAGTGAATTTTGGTACTGCTTCCAAAATGGACCAAATCATAGCATTTAATTAGCAAGTGGCTTCTGGAGGTTATCTGGACTGGATGATGGTGCAAGGCAGGGCAAACGTAGAGTGTGTTATTCAGGGCCTTGTCCATTCGTGTTTTGTATACCTACAAGGGCAGTGATTTAGCAATCCATTTTAATGTTTGCCCTCGCCGTGAAATTCTTTTCCTCATATCTATTCAGAATTTGCAGCTTTTGTGCATTATCTATTGTCTTTTTCATTTTTCACCACCGAGAAAAGTCCAGCTTAATCTTTTCTGTTCCCTTTCCTTTATGTAGTTGAAAATAGCAGTTAGATCCCTCCTTGACCTTTTCTGCAGCCCTTTAGTCTTCTTGCCACCGATAAATTCATTTCAGTAAGTCATAGTGGTGGACTGGAGAGCCCAAAGAAGCACTCTAGATACTCTGACAGGTTCTAAAAAGGGGGAATAATCACATCCCTTAGCCTGCAGGCTTCACTATCAAGCTTCAGAGTACTATCAGTTTTCTGCCTCCTTTAGAGTCCACCTGTCTGAGTCATATCTTTCCATTTTTTCTGTAAAGACACTTGCTGAAAGAGTTGCTAAAATCAAGGTAAACTATGACTGTGCCTTTCCCTACTTCATGGAACCAGTCACTGCAACACAGAAGGCAGTCAGTAGTTTATCAGTCCCTTGTAAATTCCTGCCCCCTATTCTCAATCTCCTTGTTCTTCATAGGCCTGGGCATGGTTTCCAGGAAAATTTTCTCCATGAGCTTATTGAGACTTACTGAGTTTATTCAGGTCAGATTGAAGGTGGGTGTGGTCTTTGCCTTTTTCCTGTAATTGGGAACTTCCCTTGATAGACATGACCTGTCAAAGGTGATAGAGTGTGGTCTTCATGTGACAGCGGTCATTTCTCTCATCCTGAAATGCATCCCATCTGGTCACGTGCAGTTGTGTATTTCCAGTTTGCCTGTGTGGTCCTTGGGCCAATATAATCTCTACTGTAGGTAGTACTTCACTTGCCCGGGCTCTGACACTAAGCTCAGGGAAGCTACTGGATGATCTAGGCATCAGTCAGAGATTCCAGAGACCTGTAGAAGCTTTACATGGAGAGACTAGTTTGAATATTAGGATGCAGTGATGGATAGGAGATCTTCCTAAGAAGCAAAGAGAATTGGCCAGAATTTGCTGCAACACAGGAAAACACTTATTTGTTTGAAATCAGTCCCGTATGCAAGGTTTTGCCTGCAAGGACACAGTGGGAAATTCTGTTATAAAGCATTTTATAGTTATTTTGTCTTGACTTAGTGGCTTCAAAGTTTTAAAAACTCTTAAAAATAGCATTGCTCTATTTTATATTATCTTTTTGCCCTCCTTCAAAGTTTTTTATTGTCTCGAGCTGTGTACCCTTAAAGTCAAGGTTGTGGCAAGTCCAGCTCAAAGCTCTTTCCCCCTAAGTAGCACATTTTCCATCTTTACTGCTTCTTTAATGTAAACTCAGATGGTTGTTCTCATAAGCGTACTTTAAGCAGATGAGCCACCTCACAGAAGAGCTGCTGTGGACTGTTGGTTGCCATAACCTGAGACGGCTGGGCAGTGTGTTGTTTGGCAGTTAAGATTTAATACCAGGATCAGTCTTGTTTGAGACCAGTGAAAAATTGCTTTTTCACTTCATATTAACTGGAATTAACTGATACTGGTAGGGAGAAAATGTACCTGTTTTGATGCCTAACATAATATTTATGTCTGAGGCAGTGAGTAGACAAAATATCAACAAAATGTTACTATAGTGTTCTTGGTGGGCTGCTGAATCACCTTGGTTATCTTAATTTTGGGGGATTTTACGTTTCTCATATATCCTAAAGATAATAAAGATATTACAAGATTTCCTGATTCAGGTTGCCATTGGACTTGCTGTGAGTACTTTGGGAGCATTTCTGATGAAAGTAGTGCCAGCAGTCACAATCTTGGGTAATGCAAGCAGTATACAGTGTCCTTCTATGTCTATAAATAAACTAAATTCATCTGGAAAGTTTTGTTAAGGGGCTACGTTTCCAATTATGCTGGGAATAATTGTGAACTCTTACTATCATGAAAGTTTTTGCTTTGATTTACTAGTAGCTACAGCAATCAAGAGGTGCTATGTAATGTCAAATTTCAACTCAATTTAAAAAAGTTGAAGGCAATGGCATTTAACACCTGTCTTTAAATTTCACTGCTCTTATAAGCAGTACCAAATTCTAAGTTTCAGTTAATAAGCTCTTGGAAAATTCTAAGTAGTTTTATCTTTGGCTCTCTCTAAGGAGAACTGTCTGTTTATATAGAGATTCTTCTAGGGATAAAATATACATAGCCATTAGAATAATTTATTCTTTGAGGTTTTTCTTCCCTGTTACTGCATTGGATAGTCAATTACATCAGAGTAGTAAGGATTTTACTATTTATTAGAGACTTTTTACATACACCTATTTACATAATGAACCATTATGGCAGATTTCTGGAAAAATTCAGTCTGCTCATGATTTTTAGGGTTAGAACAGTAAGCATCAGGAGAATAACCACAGGGTGTGATTAGACTGTAACAATTGATGAAATTAACAAGGATCTGAATAGTTACTATTTATAAGTATTTGAGAGTTTGAAATAAAACATAGATGTAGTTGTATAGGTACTTTCAGTGATAGCTCTTTTTGAGGTTGGCTTGAGTACTGCAAATTATGAACTCCAGCATTTGTAAGGATTTCTAAAGTCAGGTCACTGCTGGGCACAGGAGTTCTAGAGCCCTCTGGAAGCTGTGGAGAGTAGCTTCTCAACAATGCACTCTGGAAGAAGTCAGCAAAGCTTTTGCAGGATAAACTTTAAGCCTTAAAGGCTAGTGAACATAATTAAGGGAACCAAAAGGGTTGCAAAGGGTAGTCAAACTTCACATGCAGAATTTTATCAGATTTGTGAAACCTGAAAAGGCCTTGAGTAAGGTGGATTCAGAGGAAAAACTTTGAAACTGAATTTTCTGAAGGATTCCTTATGCAAACAGAATGGCTTCATATCACTCCATTCCACTGAAATATGAAAGATTGCTCACTGTTTCAGAGTATTAGAGTACAGATGATTTATGTGTTTCCTAGGTATATTTTCACAGATATTCCATAGCCAGTGTCTTAAAATAGGTAACTCTGACTTGTAATCTCTCTTGAGTTGGGTTCATTTCTCCCAATGGTTTAAACCAGCACATATGGCCAAGGAAGACTTAGTCTTTCCCATGAAGGAAAAAGGCAATTAAGTAGTTTATCTGCTTTGTTTGGAATAACAGAAGTAGGCTGAGAATCTATGATGTCATGGAAGATAGATGCTATGGAGGACTGAAAAAGGTTATTTGTGTTTTAGTACTACCTTGAAGAAGTTTCTGAGTGTATACAAAGAGACAAAGTAGGATGTATGTGAACAAATTTGAGGAGGGTAACAAACAATAATTTCCGCTGAAAAGTCTCAGAAGAAAAATGACTTTTCAACCCACTGATTTACATCATCAGTCAAAAGCAATTACGTTTAGGGTTGGGATTCAGAGAGCCACAAAGCCTCTAGGGACACCAGGGCTGGAGAAGGCATGCACGACATTGCACCAACATCACTACCTCCACACCTTTCTGAATGGGGTCGTCTCATGGAACTCGAGTCAAGCTTATTTTTCTAGTAACAGTAAAACTGTTGGTCTGTTGTGTTATAAAGACCATATTTTACTGTAAAGCTTTGTGAAGTAAAATTTACATGTTAACGCCCTAGAAGTTGTAGTATTATTCTTAGATGAAAATCTATAGATGGGCTAGTATTAAAGGTATTATAGAAGCTTGTCCTATTCTCTTGGATTTCCTTGTAATCATCTGTGAACATACAGAATTATTAGCTGTTAAAAGGGTTTTACCTTTATCTTACTTCTACTGTCATATATTTTTTCTATAACTATTAAAAAATAGAAACATCAATATAAAATTGCTGATGTTTTATTACAATATTTGCAGCAGTTATTTTATTAGATGTGTGATTTAGTCTTTTTTCTGGGTGAGTTCTGCAGAGGTACCTGGAAATATTTTGTGTGATTTAGTCTTTTTTAGGATTTAGCTTGGAGGTAAATTTATAGCAATTTAACTAATACATTCTAGGATTATACCCCAGCATAGCTTCAGTTCAGCTCATAAAATGATTACCTAAAATTCCCCATTTTGTTAAGTGTTCATGGAAGGAGTTCTGTCTGATTCTGTACTGAATTATAACATGATTGCTTCATGCGCTGTTGACACTCGAGCTGTTTACTGTGAAATCTTCCATGGAATACCTGTACTTTAGATGTTTCTCGAGTGTTTTTGGAGATTTATACAGTTTAGAACAGCTGTTGTGTTCTCAGATGGAAGCACAGTAAGGTATTTAGTGAGCTATATAATATTAAGTATATCTGAAAGTAGTTGCAGGCATTAAAAGAATTTCCAGGGGTTTAAAATGTAGCTTGTAAATATATGAACTTTATAGTGATGTATTAATCCTACAGTTTTCATCAGTATGCTTGAGAGTGGATTGGATATGAAAAACTAAATAGAACTTAAGGCAATATTGTAGATGCGTGGTCAACTTTGAATATACACAAAAAATTCACTTGAAGCATGAGTTTCTCTTGCTTTTTCTCCTACTTTACAGTTTCAGTAATTTAAATGAAGATGGTGCTTTGCCTGATTATCTTTTTCAAAGGTGTCATAAATTCCTCAGTATTATGCATGAGTACACTGCACTGATATTGGGATTGTAGCTGAGAGGGTAGTAACTTTAACTTGCATAAATGATTAATTTGCCTGGAGGACGGTGTAAATTAGAAGGGATTTGCTTGAAAAGATCAATGATTTCATCTTTCTAACCCAGTTTTCAAATTTTTATTTTGAAATATTTTAACATTTGTATTAGAAAGGATTTTTAGTGTGAATCATACAATAGCAACCATGGCAGTCATTGTTTTCTTTGAAGAAAAATAATATACTTAATAAGTTCCTACTGCCATCCCTGCAATAGAAATACCCATGTACTCATGTACTCATAATTAGACTTAAAGTTAATTAATGTTTTAGAGCTTGTCATGAGGCACCTACAAATCTTAGCACATTCCTAGTGCTGAAATCAATTGTAAGTTGTTTTATCAAATTACATATTTATTTCTAAAGAATTTTCTTTCTCCTTCTGCTAATCATTCAGAATTAAAATCCTGTTCTTAAATCATGGTACTCAAATCAGTATTCACCTGCTATGAGCCTCTGACATTCCTCAGGGCTAAAAAGGGAGCAAAGTGTGAGGTTGTGTGCAGAAGATTACCAGCTTGCTGTTACTCTCTAGAGATCAGCTGAGACTGGGCACTAGAAAACCAAGGACTTTGCGGGGGGGAGGGTTCTTTATAGTTCTTTTTCTTTTTCTTTGCTTAACTTTTATTAAATGAATTCTACTTAAATGTATCTCAGACTGTTGGTAAATTTGAAGTTCTATTTCTGCTGTCCTCTTTTTAACCCCATTACATGATTTATTCTTAAATATGCCCCAGTCACCTTCCTGTGCTAAAAAGCCAGGATCCCAGCCAATTTGTAGGGTTTTTTTAAGAAAGTAGTAATTCTTATTCAGCATTCTAAAAAATCAGCTGACAAATGTGCTAATGAAAACTCTAAACATTTAGAGTTTGACTACATTTAAAGCTGAGTATTAAGAACATCTATAAAGTAATCTCTGTACTTTAGTTTCCCCACATTTGCATTAGTGTTAAACATGAAGAATTGTGTTGTTATTTAAAATATAAATGATACTGAAACAAACTGAGCACAGATTGTGATGCAAATGCTTCTTGATGTTTTGAAGAAACAGCAAGAGCCTTTGCAGCTGCTCTTTTCTGGAAAACAAACATTCTGCCTTGAAGCAGAACAGTCTTTCGAAATTGGAATAAACAAATACACATTGTTCTGTGTGATGCTTAAAAGATGTTTATGATAGAATAAGAACACAATGAGAAGTCCTGCTGCATGGAGTGACTGCCTGGCCTATATCTTGTGACTCATGCTGTAGCATGAGGTGCCAGGAGGATTTGCAAACTTTTCTCTTGTCCCTTTGTTTTTTTCAGTGGATTTTTGTAAAGGACATTACATTCACTTAAAATTGTTTTGGAAAATGTGAAATTATCAGAAAGTCAGCATAAACCAAAAACATGTGTTACAGCAAAACATGTTTTTTATAGCACCACCACAGGTTTTTGTACTGGATGAGAACAATTAAGTGTTTCTGCTACCATTAACTACTGTTCTTCTTGCCCAATCCATTGTGCATTCTGTAAAGTAAGAGAAAAAGTTGTGCCTTTTTTTTTCCTCCATTTTGCAGAATGCTGCGACAAAGTGTGGGGATTTCCCATGTGTCAGTACTTGAAGGACAAAGGCTGGTGGTGTGGACGCAATGCTAGAATGTCAGCATGCTTGGTATGATTCCCCTTCTTCTCTTTTTCCTATTGAGAGCTTTGTCCAGATGTTATAGAATTCATTGTTTTTGGCTTCTAATCCTAAAGCCATGACTTTAATCCAAGACTATACAGACTAACATCATTAATGTTGTAAGCATGATAAATTATATCTAAAAAAATAGTATTGACCTTTCAGCTTTATATATTTTATGCTTGCTAAAGGCATGAAAAAATGAGTAGTGACAGAAGTGCATTTTAAGATTGTACGGAAAGGCCAAACCTTTGCTGAAACCTAAACAAGGTAACCTCTCAGGATAACAGTTCCTAGCCAAGGACTTAGGGGGAAACAAGGTAATTGTCGAAGGATTGCAATCAGTAACTCCCCCAATGCCTTCATGATTCATAATATTGAATGTTCTGACTGTTTAAAACTTGAACAAACCTGCCCATTCCAAAAACTAGAAGAGCTCTAAAATCCATGAGGCTTAAGAATCTGGAAACATTTTTTTTAACAGAGCACCGAGAGATTAAATACTTTTAAAGACCTAGCCTCATCAAGATAGATTGATGAACTGTTGTCTAATTTGAAAAAAACAGATAGGTACTGAAAATTTTAACCACTTTTAGTTAGAAGATCACTATTCCTTCCCTTTATTAATTTTTCATTTCTGGTATCATAATGAATCACATCAGGTTATGGCTAGCCTCTGCTGCTTGCTCTGTACCTCTGTTACAGAGAACAGTGTAGACTAAAGACTGAGTATAGGCTAATGTATTGAGGTTACAGAAACTTGAACTAGCATGATAATTAAATGCTATCAGAAGAAAGTATAGGAGGACAGTTGTTTAGTATTCATAAGGCTTAAATGTGTTACCCTTGGAAAGTAAAAGAAAAGAATTGTTCATTTTAGAGATGTTGCTATAAAACATCACAAAAAATTGCTTTCTAAAGAGATTTGCCTTTTCTCTTTTTCTTGTGTCATACAATACCTTCCTCAGTTGACACATTACCCGTTTCCTCTCCTATTCCATTTCTTTTGGAAAAAGTTTGGGCTGTTTTTCAACAATGTTAGGAAGATAAATTTTGTAACCAAATGACCCCCAGGAGACGGTACTGTTCATGCCATATATATCTATTTTAGATTTCTCAGAAATCACAGAAATTTGGCAGTTAAAAGCTTTTTTTGTTTAAATATTCACAAAAGGCAAAGAGTTCTCTTGTGTCACTAGATACTTCTACTGTTAAGAGTGTAATTCTGTATATGCATTTTTCATGACTAGGATTTTCCTTGCCTTCTAGGCACGATCTTTCTAGGGGTAAAGGCTGGCCAGCAGAGACTCAGTCTGCTGAGCAGTGACACTCAGCATTCAAATTCATTCATGTGCCAAGGGTCAAAGGTGTTGGGTGAGAGTTTGATTTTCAGACCCATACAATACATGTTAGAACCCACATCCACCTCCTAAGCAGCAGCATATTCATGCTGGTATGAGAGCTATAGCTTACACAGCAAAAGACAAATATCATAGTTGGCCAAAGTCACGAATGAACTGCATCTACTTGGACTGTGTTTAAAGAACAGTCCGAAATACAAGGTTAGTTCTATAACTAGGAGAAGGAGGAGTGGATGATTGAGTAACAAGGAATCTTATTTAGTGTAGTGAAGTTTGGGGACTAAAGGAAAATGACCCATAAGTGGTGAGGCATTTCTGGTTTGCTGTCTAATTTGATGTAATATCAAATAATTTACTGAGTTTTTTGTCTTTATTTCTACTACAATCTTTAAAACTTGTTTAAAATTTTATAGGTACAGTATCTTTTCAACTGTAAAGGGATATTCCATGCTTCTAATTATTTTTCATTTTTTGTCACTATAGATCATAAAAATCAAGTAGTCTTTAGCACCTACATCAGCGTTTATAGTATGAAGAATCTAGTGGAAAATAATGCACAGTATTTTAAACTGCAGTCTTTCTGAAGTTTTATTTGATTTAACTTTATATACAACAGTTCAATTTATCTGAGTACTAGGGATTAAAACTAATATTGTACATTGAATGAGTGTTTACTTTTAAATAGTCAAATATGCAAAGTGAATTATTTGTATTTCAGTAGGAACAGACTCAAGAAAAATGCATTTCTTTGTAGTATTTTCACTGAAAGTAATCCTCTGAAATTCTGGTACAAGACAAAGAAAAACAAACAAATTTTGTGTGTATCTAGTTCCACACAGTCAGATGTTGTTAGTTCTCCTGTAAATAAACCAAAATAACAGGAGTAGCTGATTAAGAGTACCTAAAGGTATTAACACTTTAAAGTGTGCAAGCTTGTGTTATGTCACACCATTAGTCTTTCAACATGTCATCTCCTCTGACTTTTATACAACGTGTTTATAAAATGTTATGATAAAGAATAAACATATCAGCAATTTAATTCCTTGACTCTTAAAGGCTTTGGAGCGAGTTGCAGTTGGCCAAATGGTAAGTAATATTGTTTATTTTAGCCATTCTAAGATAAAATGTGTTCTCCCCCTTTTAATGTTCTTAATCCATGGCCTTTTATTGAACTCCTGCATATCTGGAATCTAAAATACTGGCATATACTACGTCAAATCCTGATAGATAGCATGTGTCATCATGAAATCACATTTTTATTGCTGTGGTTGTACTTAGTGAATCTGTTTTCTTTTGACAATTAAGAGTCTGAGGAAAAAAAGCACAGCTTAAAATTTAAGGCATTAAAATACCATTCCTAACTTCCTTCACTGTCTTTCAGCTAGTAAATAAATTCAGTGCAAGTGTCCTTCTGATAACCCCGGTTTGGATCACTCTATCCCAATGTTTTATCAACTAATGTAAAAATAGACATTGTTATGACAAAAGCTTGAACCTGTTAGAAACATCATCATTCTCATTTTTATCCCTGTATATTTTTTCCCTGTGAATATTTTGAATTATTGTTGTGCAAGTTATCCTTTAGGGGATGGTGGACACCAACTGTGCAAGTATTTAAAAGGAAAGCCTGAGAGACTTCTTTCCAAATGTAAGCCCACTGACCCTAGTAGTTTTTTCCTGTAAATTTTTAATTGACAATCTTTAGCTATTTTTATGCAAACAGATCTTCCATGCACAAAGATATGAAGTTTTCAGTATGTTCTTTTTTTTTTAACATAGTACTTTCTGCATGGTTCAGACTACAGTGTATGATGATTCAGCTAGAGAATTATGCCTTTTGTATTCAAAACAGCTTAGCTAAATTTTTATTTATTTTGCATATTAGAATTTGGATCATGATCAGTATGCTTTCCTCTGTTCTTTTTCCCTCCATCAACCTTTGATCTTCAGAGTTTGAGTTTCTTTTTTTTTCTTGCATTTATGGTTATTTTAGAATCTGACCCAAATACATAATTTTGACTGGATGCAAGAATGTTAGTAAATTGTCCTCTTAAATCTGTTCTGACTGACTGTAAAGAACTCAAGTCAATAAGTCATTAAGGAAGCCAATACTGATTTTGTTACTCTAATCCTTATTTCAGTGCCAATTTTAAATCCTTGCTGTTGTAAATTTTTTTGCAGCTGCCTACAGAATCATTGTTTTATCGAGCTGTTCTTCAGGTTATTATAGAAGAAATGTATGGTGTTACGAAAAGGTAGGAAGCTCTGAATTCACAGAATGCCAACCACAGATCTGATTCTCTTCCACCTCTATTCTATAGAGAAAGTATTTTGTATATAGACATTAGTATTAAAATGCAGGAAAGATTTACTCATCCTAAATCTATATCACAAATTTATTGCCCTTCCTTTACCTGTAGCTGAAGTAGGTCCTCTTTAGTACTGGATAGATGGGTGAAACATATCTTCACCAGAGAACACTCAGCAAATTTACTAAAAAGTCAGTGTAATCCTGGGCTACCCTGTCATGCAGAGGTCCTGGCAGCTTTAATACTGCAGAAGGGAAAAGGCATTTCTATTTGTCCTGAGAAAAAATGCTGAAAGCTCAATGGCCATGATGGCTGTAAAGAGCTACTCACTGCCTGTGCCTACCCTGGCAAGTGCTGCCTCCTTGTAGAATGGGATTTGGAAAGCTTGCTGCTGAGGATCTGACATCTCCATTGTACTCTTTCTTGTGGTTGTAGCTGGATTAGATTTTATCTAATTCTGGGGGATGTATGCCTGTTGACACTTGAAACATGTCCAGAAGCACACCTTCCAGTTTAATTTAATTTGAAAATAACCCATTTTTTGAGCTCTGATACTATTCCACAGTGTGAACCAAGGCATGAGAGGTGGGGAAAAATTCACTTCAGCAATATACTCCAGATCTAAAATAAATGCTAATGCTGATACCCGCAAAACTTATGCTAAATGTAGAGTCAGACAACTTACCCTTCAAAAGGTCAAATTCCTGAAAGAAGAAATACTTCTTTATTTTAAAATTACGTAAAATATCACACAAAAAATCACGGCTGCTAAATTGTAGAGAAAAGAAAAAGTGTGAGATAGATGTTTTATTTGTTAAAGGAAGTAATTAAGATTATACTTTTGAAATTAAAGCAATGGCTACCTTGGAAAGACCTCCCCCACCCCCAGTTTTGTTTTTGAGCATGATGTTATATGGCATGGAATATCCCTATGGCCTGTTCTGTTCAGCTGTCCTGGTTGTGTTCCCTCTGCACTTCTTGTGCACCTTCAGCCTACTCACTGAGAGGCAGAGAGAGAAACAGAAAAGGCCTTGATACTGTGCAATCACTGTTTGGCAGTAGCTGAAACATTGGTGTGTTACCAGCACTGTTTTAATCACAAAGCTAATCACAAGCACTGTATGGGCTACTGTGAAGTTCTATCCCAGACAGATCCAGAAAACATCTCTTCCCCAGTAGCTTGTTATAAGAGTCAGATGCCCGTCTTCATAAGAATGACATAACAGCATAACCATTAACTGATTTCCAGACTGCATCAGCCCAAATGTTCAGGTGTATCTCAATATTAAATATGACAACAGAAAAGATTCTCAGTGAGTGGGGGTCTTTGACAGCTAAACACATTAGAACTGCCACTGAGTGAAGTCTTTCTGTTGACCTCAGTAGATGTTAGTTCTGGTTTTTAGATAAGGAGGTAGGGTTTTACTAAGAATAAAGAAAAGGAAAGGTTTCAAACTAAGATATTTCTATCCAATATTTCACTGGGAGGGTGGGGAGGAGTGTATTTCTTGTTAAGTTATTCAGTAGCTGAAAATTCTATATCTGAAAATTTAACTCCTACACTGCACAGCTGGAAGAGGAATTATGTTAGGACACAGTCAAGAAAATGAATTCAGACTAACAAAAACTTTGCATGTTGTTTCTCCAAGATATTTTAAACACAGAGAAGAGAAAAAAAACTCGAGTGGCCTGTTGGGATTCTTCCTATGTAATTTTTTTTCCAGTTTTTATGCATTATTTTAACATGTTTTCTGAAAAAAAAAAACCACATTTTGGGCTGCCGACAAAAGCAGACTATTCAGTTGTAAGCAGGAGAAAATTCTGGCATCATTTAGTGAAATAAAAATTGCAGGGATAAGAACACAAGGTAACAAGCAAAGTGGCATTTGCTCAGTCCAGCGGTTAATGATAAATAAATTACAGCAGCATTATAATAAATTATAGAAGTATGGAAGGAAACATCTGTCAGCAGAAATAAGAATTTTGTCATTCATATAGGGAAATAAAGATATTAGTGAAGAAATTAAAAACAAGCTTCAACTAACTTTCAAATTTTTACATAATAACCTTACTACAACTGTAACACAATTATAAAATTGCTGTGTCTAGAAATTACTTCAAGTATTAGCTTGATTGTTTTAAGTGGAAGGAGGAAAATGGGCAGTTGTTACTAACTTCGCAGTAGTAACCGTCCAACTGATTTATTTCTCCCGAGTTAAAAATTAAGTTAAAAATACATGAATTTCTGTTGTTGGATATATAAAAGCCTACATCTCAATGCTGTATTTTCAGCGATCGACATGTTGGAAAAACTTTCTCCAAATCATCCTCCTTCATAGATTATGTCAGAAGGTCTCTGAAAAAGCTGGAACTGGATGATTCGAAGGTGAGTCACTAAATAGAGACTAAATGAAATACTTATATCCCTGTAAGTTCTTGAAGTCAGCACCACAATGGAATGTTTAAGCCACTGACTTGATTTACTTCCTATATTGCTGTGTGAATATAAAGCATTATCATTTTTATTAATATTAATATTAATAGAGCAAGTCCATGCTTGTTTATATATATTAAAAAAAAACAACATCAAAGTTGACAGGGTTTTATGGGGTTTTTTTTGAAACAGACTTCCATGTTTAAATTCTTTAAAATATTGTGATTTAAAATTACCTTATTCTAATGACTTTATATAAAACCAATCCTTTTTTCTACATGGTGCTCATAATCATGATTTTTTTAAGGCTTTCTGTTATTTCTGAAATAAATCCTACAAATCTCCTTTAAGGCTAAAAATATAATACAGTATTTTATACATGTTGTCATTTAGAGGTGAATATACTTTTCAGATGCCAAGTGAAGCAGGCATGAAGAACTTTTTGCCTGTGCTGATACTATACATCCCAGTAAAAGTAACTCATGCATCCTTTTAGACCAGCTGAAATACTATACTATACAAGCATGTTCCCTATTTATCTTTTATTTAAGTTTAAACTGAAAGAGATCCAAAAAATTATGAATCATGAATCACGTAGTAAATACTTTGACCCCTTTTGATTTTCTTTTTTTTTGTTGTTTTTTCAATATTATCGTGATCCTTTTGGACACCTTTTGAAACTGAAAATGTAACATTATAGCAAGATAGGCATTTCAGTCTGTGCAGTATGTTTCTCTTACAACTTAGTTTCCAATGTATTTCCAGTTTAGTTTAGCCTTTAGACAGTCTTCCTAAGCTGCCTTTGAAGACCTTTGAAGGCCTAATACCTCTTTTTTCCTTTAAATTAATAAATGTCAAGGAGAAGTATTAAAATAACTTTCCTAGATAGAGAAAAATAAGTAAATTCAAAATTGAGTTTTAAACTTATCAAATCTTTTGGAGATCTTATTTATGTTCTTGAGTGTCTTGTCGTAGTACTACAACTGCTTAATTGGTCAACAGATGGCAACATAACATTAGGCATGGAATACCAATGTGTAAAGATCACAACCATGCTGTGAGAACAAGTTGTGCAATGGAGACACTAGAGAGTACTAGGCAGATGGTTAACAAATTCAGTACCATCAAAGAAGAAGTAGGAGTGGCAAGTATGTAAAATATTTAAGGTAAATGTTGTCGTAGTCTTTCTTAAATTAGCGTTTAAAATCTGTAGTCAAAACGTCAAATCACTTAAAATTTGCCGGGCACATCAAGCATGAACTATGAGAAAAAAGCAAAACCAAATAAGCAAATAAATTCAAATGACATTCTTACAACATTAAGAAAAAGACTTATGCCTTAAGTTTGCAATATTTTAAAAGGATTATATTTAATTCTGTTTGCAAACATAGTTACTTGTTTGCTCTTCTGTATAAATAGGCACCAACATCATGCATTCACCCCAGCTGAAAGTAAAATATGTCTTTCTCTCTGTGTGTACAGTCACCCAAAAGCAATAGTGCATTTTTTGTGCAATACTCAGTTTACAAAATCATTGATTAAACTCTGCTGGTGGAAATTTATTCACTGTTTTTTTTTAAAACCAATAGGCATAGAAACTTTGTGTTAAGAGGTCTGATTTTAGACATGCTGCCTTTTGCTAGAAAGAGTCTGGACAAATGCAAGTTGCCCTGAGAGAAAGATGTCTGTCAACACTGCTTCAAACTGCACATTTGTGTGATTGCTAAAGACCTGATTCAAGTCAATGCTCACTTTTGCTTATGTTTCTCCTCGTTTTATGTGCAGCTGGCTGCATACTGAAGACTGGATTTTATGCTGATGTAAACAATATTATTTTTTATTTCCCAGCTATGTTGAAATCTGCAGCAGCACAAAAATAATGCTATTCTGATACTACTGAGAGGAAAATTGTAACTGCGCCCTCATCAGTGGTTCTGACCCTGCAGTTTTCACGGTGGAGTCAGGACTATACCTACACAATACTGGAGAATGTGTTAAATTCCTCTCTTCAGAAAAAAAACCACTTACATAGCTAAAAATGTGATGAAGTCTAAACATTTGCTCTCAAAGACAACAAAAATCAGAGAAATTTATGTACAATTTGTTTTCTAGCTCTGTTTAGAAATGAGTAAAAGAGCAGCTGTTCTGCACAGACCAAAAGTCTACTTTGTCTCTGGCAGAGGCCAAAAACGGATGCCTTGGGAAAAATATAAGGTGGGAGTAAGCATATAGGAAGCTTATTTCCAGAATAATCCAAAATGTCCTTGTCATTCACAAAAAAAAAAAAAAAAAAGAAGGCAATCACTGTTTTAATACATAAATTTATTTAGGTTATATTTAAAAAGCAGCTAAAACTTGGTGACACTGTGTAATACAACCAGAGAAGTATGAGAAAAAATTGTTTCCATATGAGTCTCTGTTTTACATGTGCAAAAAGTTTTCTAAAAACCAGAAGTCAGTTGCTATACCCTTACCTACCAGTGCTGTAACCTCGCTGTAGAAGACTACCAGATTTGAAGGCACAATTTGCTTTTAGTGAAGCCATGTTATCTGTCACCTACCACCTCCTTATTTTCCATGGGCCTTACCATAGTTTCCAGCAGGATCTCCTCCATGATCTTGTCAGGCACCAAGGTGAGACTGACTAACCTGTAGTTCCCTGCGTCTTCCCTTTTTCTGTTTTTGAAAATGGGTTATGTTTCCCCTTTTCCAATCCATGGGAACTTCACCAGGCTGACATGACTTCTCAAATATTCTGGATAGTGGCTTAGCAACTTAGTCTGCCAGTTCCCTCAGAACCTGCAGATGCATCTCATCAGGTCCCATGGCACTGTGCATCTTCAGGCTCCTAAGATGTTCTTGAACCTGATCTTCTCCTACAGTGAGTGGTTCTTCATTCAGTCAGTCCCTGTCCCCTTCTGCGACTTGAGTGGTGTGGCTGGAACTTGCTGGTGAAGACTGAGGCAAAAAAATTGTTGAGTAGCTCAACATTCTCCATAACTCATGTAGCCAGGTCTCCTGTTTTCTTCTGGAGAGGGCCCACATTTTCCCTAGTCTTCCTTTTATCACTGATGTACCTATAGAAGCCTTCCTTGTTGTTCTTGATGTCAGACAGATTTAATTCTAAGAGGTCTTTAGCTTTCCTAACTTGATCCCTGGATGCTTGGACAATATGTCTGTATTCCTCCCAGGCTATCTGTCCTTGCTTCCACTTTTGATAGTCTTCCTTTTTGTTTTTGATTTTGTCCAGGAGATCCCTGGTGGTTTTGCTTGGTTTCTTTGAGCTTGGAGAAGATGACCCTTGAATATTGACCACCTTTCTTGGGCCTCTCTTCCCTTCAGGGATTTATCACATGGTACTCTGTCAAGCAGCAGGACATGTTCTCCCATCTCCCTTGGTTGACAGGTGCTGTTAAATAAATCCAAAGATATTTGATAGACATTGTGCTATTAGTTCAATTGTATTGGAATTCCTAAATTACTTCTCTTTGCTACATTGACTTTGTGCTTTTGCAAACTCCAGACTATTTAATTTTGAGTTTTAAAGCTGGTAGACAATAGTGAAATCAGAGTTTATGCAAAGTACAATTTTCTTTTTTACTAATTGGTTATTTTTTGTCAGACGAGGTTTTTTTTTTAACACTGGGTAGATGAAGATGTGCTTCTCTTAGCTTACCATTGACTATCCTTGGGTTGTAAATTCTCCTTAGCAGTGACTAGTGGAATATCATAAAATGCAGTTTGCAAAGGAAGAGACATATGATTAAGAATCTTACTGTGTGGTTTAACTTTACTGTTGTTTTAAAAAGTGTTAAAAAGCCTCATACTTAAGACTGGGGAACTGTCAGTAGTGAAATTGTATAGTACATTAAGACATGAACTAACCTGAATATATACAGCTGTGGATGTAGTCTACCAGGACTTCAGGAAAGCCTTTAACACTGTCTTCCACACCATTCTCCTGGAAAAGCTGCAACGTACAGCTTGGACAGGTGTGCTCTCTCCTAGGTTGAGAACTGGCTGGATGGCCGGGCCCAGAGAGTGGTGGTGAACGGTGCTGCATCCAGTTGGCTGCCGATCACTAGTGGTGTCCTCCAGGGATCAATGTTGGGTCCAGTCTTATTTAATATCTTTACTGATGACCTGGATGAGGGGATTGAGTGTACCATTAGCAAATTTGCAGATGACACCAAGCTGGGGGGGGAGTGTCAGTCTACTGGACGGTAGGAGGGCTCTGCAGAGGAACCTGAACAGGCTGGATAAACGGGCTGAATCCAGTGGTATGGTGTTCAACAAGACCAAGTGCTGCATCCTGCACTTTGGCCACAACAACCCCATACAGCACTACCGGCTGGGGACAGACTGGCTGAAGAGCAGCCAAGCAGAAAGGAACCTGTGGGTACTGATTGACAGCAGACTGAACATGAGCCAGCAGTGTGCCTAAGTGGCCAAGAAGGGCAATGGCATCCTGGCCTGTATCAGGAATAGTGTGGCCAGCAGGACCAGGGAAGTGATCCTTCCCTCTGTACTCAGCACTGGTGAGGCTGCTCAAGTGCTGTGTCCACTTCTGGGCCCCTCAATTTAGGAAGGACATTGAGGTGCTGGAGCAGGTCCAAAGAAGGGCAGCAAGGCTGGTGAAGGATCTGGAGCACAAGTCCTATAAGAAGTGGCTGAGGGAGCTGGGGTTGTTCAGCCTGGAAAAGAGTAGGCTCAGGGGGGACCTTATTGCTCTCTACAGCTGCCTGAAAGGAGGTTGTAGTGAGGTGGGTATCAACCTCTTCTCCCAGGCAACCAGCAGTAGGACAAGAGGGCACAGTCTTAAGCTGTGCCAGGGGAGGTTTAGTTTAGACATTAGGAAGAAATTCTTTATGGAGAGAGTGATCAGGCATTGAAATGGGCTGCCCAGGGAGGTGATGGATTCACTGTCCCTGGAGGTATCTAAGAAGAGACTGGATGTGGCACTTAGTGCCATGGTCTAGTAGACAAGGTGGTGTTAGGTCAAAGGTTGGACTTGATGATCTCAGAGGTCTTTTCCAACCTACTTGATTCTGTGATTCCGTGATTCTGTAATTTCATTATCTGTTTTATGTTATTTTACACTATATTACATTGCATTATTTTTAACTACCTTAGTCGTGGAAAAGTTGTAAAATTTGTTGTAAGGTATGATTTCCCAAGTGTTTTGAACTGATCTAAGACATTGCTCTGCTAAAAGGGTTGTCTTACTGCTTTCATGTACTCTTTTACTGTTCCTGATAATGCTTGTACAAGAAGAAAGAGGAAACATGGAATTGTGCAGTCAGTGCAGTGGAAAGCAGTCCCTCTGAGGCAGCAGAGGATTTGCATCTGTTTAAACAGACTGTGGAATAGCATCCTTAGGCTGTCTCTCCTCTGTAGGGCGTGTACAGCATTGGACAGTAAAAGAGACTTTCATTCAGTCAAAATGTTCAGTCTAGGAAAAGGCAGAGCTCTGAAAAAATGCTTTCTGAAGAGATGTTAAGTGTGGTATTACTAATTGTCCCATACCTTGTACCTGAGTGCTTTCTTTTCAGCTCAATCAGCATATCTGTGGGACTGCAGTCCAAGCTGGGTGTGCTCAGGCACATGGTATCTCATGTGCTCTCAGGGCTCTGTTGACAGTCTCGTAGATGAGTCAGTCCTATGGCACAGTTTTAGTGCCATTTCCAGCATATGGTATAGTTATAACTAACTTAGCAGAGACCTTGCTAGGTTCGCTTGGTTGTTTCAGCTGTTTGAGCAACCAAAGAAATCAGTTTAAAAGAAGATTATACCACCATTACAGTGCAAAGAGGTGTTTTTGTTCACAACCTGATAAACACCCAGAGACATTGTAGCTACATAAGGGAAGAAATACTAACCAAAAATTCTCCGTATGAAATGTAGGTTACTTGAGTGTCAGTAACATCTTGAGCGTCAGTAGCATAAGCTAGATCTTTGAGTGCAGAATCAATCTTAAGACAAATACATGATAGATGTATTTGAGTTTTTTCATGTTCATAGTTTCAACATCATAATGAAAGAAAAAAGTTCAGTGCATATATGTGGAAATTTTTTTTTGGCTACACAAATGCATGGCAACCCAAAGAACAGTTGCATGGACAACTTGAGTGAATGAATGAGGCTTGCTTTGCATGTGGAAGTTCAGTTCTTCTCCTGAAAATGCAAACAGTAATCTACTCCTACTTCACCTTGGAAGGATAGCAGATGGTTGTGTCGGGTACCTTTTAGGAACCAAAGGCAGGTAGCAAGCTGTTGCAGTATCAGCCAAAACCAGTGTTATCTGGGTTTTAGTCTTCTTCCAAGAAATTGGCCACATGGCTAACTACCCTTTTCATGCCCGTCTCTATTAATGCTTTTTGGTGGACAGTTTTTCTTTTTTCCAGTTCACCAAACTTTTATCTGAGACACAGTTTGGAATACTACCTAATCTATCTGTGACAGCAGGATGCATTCACTCAAAATGTGTAATAAACAAGGAGGGAATGGAAAAGGACATACTTGAGTATGGCAATGTCCAAGAGACATTTTTGACCCCCTTTTTATTTGTCAAACATTTCACAGCTTGTTTTCTTTCAATTTGAATGCTTCATCTTGAAAAATGAAGAACATAAAGGAAGCAAAAGCAGAAAGGTTTCATGATCACATTTTTCCAAATATAGATCTTTGTATTTTAATTCCAAATAGCCTGTAATTTCAAAAATCCATTATACTAAAACCCTATTAATATGCAGTTGAAATGGAAAGCTTATAGGTCAGAGGTTAAATAAACTATTTTGTTTATTTCATGACTGATATATTTTAGTTGGTTTGACTCTTTAGAGGGGAAGAGAGAAAAAAAAGAACCTCTAAAATATTTGCACAGCTCTACAGAAAATAAAATAGCAATAAGATAAAAAAAAATTCTTGTTAGTCCACATTTGTACTGCCAGATCAGCTACTCGACCTTGCATCTGCAATTGGGAAAAAGTACTTTCTTAATTAAAAAAATATGATTGAAATACTACGAAAGTTTTTCTAAGCCCTGTTGTTTTAAGGCAGAGTTAGAATTTTGCATCATCCCTGAAAAATATTTGTCAGATCTTGCAAAAGCTTCCTGTAATGGAGACTAACAATGTTGCCAGTCCTTAATTAACCTCTAAGAAAAAGATTTCTTCAAGGTTTTGGCTTTTTTTTTTTTGCTGCAATACAAGCCCTATCCACTGCAGACATAGTGAACGAAGTGTTCTCTGCTTCCTGGTGATAGCCTTGTAAACACTTTTATTATGCCCACTCTCAATTTTGTCTAATTTAGCCTGGTCAGTTCCAGTTTTCTGAGTCTTTCTTCTTAGATCATGTTTTCTAGATTTCTGATCTCTTTTCTCTCTCAGGGCTTTTTCAGACAGTTCATTTCTTTCTTTGAAATCTGATGCCCAAAAATGGATGCAGTATTCCAGCTAGAGCTTTTCCACTGCCAGAGTTGAAGGATTACTTCCTGCACTTTGCAGGCTGCTCTCCCATACACATCATAGAATGGTGATTGCTGGTTTTTTGCAGTAGCACAACTGTGACTCCTGCTCAGCTTATGATCTGCTATGTCTCGCAGACTGTCATTTGGTGTTCCCCATCCTGAACAGCTGATTATTTCTGCCTGAGTCTAATCCCTTCTGCTTTTCTGTGCAGCATTTCAGACTTCTTTTCTAAGCAATGCTCCAATTTCTGAAAATTATTTTAAGTTCTGGCAATGCCTTTTTGTTGCACATTAGCAGACTTAATTAATCTGATTTCTATTCTGTTGTCTGAGTTCTTAATGAAAATACTGCATTCCATAATAGACCTCCAGTCAGAAGGTCTTTCAGTTGTTCAAAGACTCATTAGTAACTACTGTCTGGTTATGGTCATTCAAATAATTTTCACTCACCATATGGTACTTTAATATTAAACTTGTTTCTTAAATTTGCTTGTAAAATTATTATGTGAAATGTTGTCAAAAATCTTTCTGAAATTGAAATATATTATAACCAGCTATTTTTCTCTGTTGTGAATCCTTTTGCCCTCCTTACAAGTGAAGTAGACCAACTTGTGATTTGTTCTTGACGAATTCACGTGGACGAATTCATCTGCTTATCTTGTAGTGGTTTTAAATTCTTTATTTGTTCCATTTTTTCAGTGCATTTAATTTGAACTGTGTGTTCTGTAACAAAAGACATACCTTCTGACATACCCTCTTTGAGAACTTCTCAGTGACAATGAGTAATAGTTCTGAGGTCCCTTTAGTCCCTTCTTGGCTATCTTAGGATGAAGTTCATAATACACACCTCATTTGAAAACTTACAGGTTTTTTAAGTGTTCCCTAGTTTGTTTTCCTATTTAGGCAGAGATTTTACATCTTTGCAGCTGGATTAGCCACATGCTCTCAGATGATTCTTCTAATAAAGTGTTCAAAAATGTATTAAACAATTTGGCTTTTGTAGTCTTTTGTCATAGAGTCATAGAATCATTTAGGTTGGAAAGGACTTTTAAGAGCAGCAACTGTTAACTCAGCACTGCCATGTCCATCGCTAACCCTTGTCCCTCGGAGCCACATCTACATGTCTGTCAGTGCCGTTCTTTTCTGCTAAGTTGTGGTCTAGCTCATTCCACAGCCACAAAAGAATAGATATACTACTGTTGAGGAGGGGTTAAGATATATGGGAAAGGAAATGAGAATGTTATCTCCAGTTACTGTGTAATTGTCATTTAGGAATGACTGGAGCTTTCTGAATAATTAATGTATCTCAGAATTTCATGTCAGTGCAAAATGCTGTCTGAAGAACAGTTATTGTAAATTAGAACTGAGAAACTGCTATTGGAAAGTAATTATAAACCTTAGAAAAGGGCTAATTTTACAAACAAAACACGGATTTCATTTTGTAGTGTGAGTTTCAATCAGGAAAAAATATTTAATTGTAAAGTTCTCTCTCAAAAAAAGTAACTAGAAGAACTCTGATATCTTTTTTTCTTAAATCTCTTGCAGCTCCCAGACAGCTGTATAATGGATTACTATGAAAAATACAAGCACAGAATGAATGAGCTAGAAGCATTTAATATGGTAAAAGTTATAGCATTAATACTATTACCTTGTATATATGTGCTAGTCTAGAACAAAGCCCTGTTAAGTTTTATGTGGAGGTGGACTGTCTTACATTGGTATGCAATCTCAAAAAACAAAGCAGCCAGCCCTTCCAAACTTTGGAGCATATCCTTTTCCAAAACTATATTAGGTGTAAGTAAAATAATAAAGCAAATACATGGAAGATTCTTTTTCAAGAGAGACTATTACACTGGAAAATGGCATGTCAGTCTCCTTTTAAATCTAGACTGGTCTCCATGCAGTTATTTCATAAAAGTTCTTTTTATTAAAATTCATTATTTCCCTCTTTAAAATTGTTCTGCTACAGATAGTATCATTTTCTTATTGGACAAATGTCTGAAAACCAACTAAACAACATCGTTCCCTGACTTTAGAGCATTCCATATATTTTTGTCTCTAATATAATCTGTTTTGAAGATGTCCATCCCATAGGTAAAATTAGCAAACTGACGTTTGTACAACAGAACCCCTAAAAAATTATTGACCTTCCTGGACTTGTTCTGAGGAAGTGTAGCCATTTGGAAGTGTATTGCCTGTCTTTCCCAAAGGGATTGTAGTATCTAATCTTTCTTTCAGCTGAAGGTTGTTCTGGCTCCTTGCATAGAAGTTTTGATACTTCTGGATCGTCTTTGCTATCTCAAGGAGCAGGTATTTTTGCATTATATTTTATGATACCTAAAGGCTACATCAGTGAAATGAAGCTATTTCAGTCTATTTATTACAGTGCAGACCAAAAGTCTCTGTTGCGGAATTATTATTCTCATCATATTTGCAAAAGTATAAGCATTCATTCCGTTTAGTATAAACATATGCCCAGCAGATGTTTTTATTTTCAGAAAAGCAGCAACAGTAAATTTTATGTTCTTTTAATTGTATGGTAATTACTAGTCAATAGGCAGTAAAAAATAAATTAATTAAATATGCAACAAATCTCATTTTATACAACATTGAGTTATTTATTAATTAAAAAGAATATTAGAAATGCTAAACAAACATTGTGCTGTTTATGCTACAATTTCCAATTAATATGCTTTAGAACATATAATTCAAGAAATTTTTAATTAGATCCAAAATGTTTATTATTTCCCTTTACTGTTTCTTAATTAAGATCAATGATGAGAGAGGGTGCACTTTTTCCAACTGTATGGCTCAACTGAGGTACATTTGACTAACATACAGTCTGGATATATTTTACAAGTATAGACCTAGGATATAACAAGGAAATGCTACTACATTTACTCCATGATGATTTATATTACACTCTTTCTTCTAACACTAATTTTGAGCTTAGCCTGTTTAACTCAGAAGCAGCAGTAATACTTTTTCTGCACCAATAAACATTTTTCACACAAATAATAATTTGCTAGGAGAAAATCATAGCATCTTCCAGCTTCTACTCTGAACCATGGTCAAAATAAATTTTTTAAATAAAGTTTAAACTCATTCATATGAATAGCTATGTTTTCCCACCATAAACCTTACTTTTTAACAGCTCCATTTTATATTAAGTGAAAACTCACTTTATTCTCTGCCAGCTACTGAGCTGTAGTAAATGTAAGCTTTTGTTCTAACTGGTATTTTTACAGAGAGGCAATTTGAAATATTTAAATAACAATGTATTTTCCCAAGTTCCATAGAGATCTCTATGATTTCCAAGATGGGAGATGAAACTTGCTGCATTTAGCACTAATTTGCCTTTTCTAAATGTAATATATGCATTAATTTAATCTTGTACTGGTTGATTCATAAAATATGTTTAGGATTTAAAATAGAGATTATAAAAGCCATATGCAACATGATGGCCAGATCCAGCTGGCCTGATTCATTTGAAAAGTCAGTTAATTAGCTTCAGGAGTAGAATGTGCTGCCTAAAATGAGTATGTCGTGATCCTTAATTTCTTTGCTCTAGTTCAGTCAAAGAACAAATCCTTATTGATGAAGGAGGGGGGGAAGCTATCATTTGGTAGTGCCAGAAATAACTAAATGACTTGAAAATGCATCCTGTTATGGGTGTCTGTTTTTTCCAAACAAACTTTCCCTGATTTTCTTGTTAGATAAGTGTTTTTCCTGCTTTGCATTAAGGATATTTATTTTTATTTTCAATTTTGTATTTCAAAATGTGAACCTATTATCATATCTTAGCTTTTAAGTCAAACACATTTTGATGTACTTCAATCATCCATCATTTTACAGGAAAACATTGCCTGGTCTGGACTTGTGAAGTTATTTGATCCTGTGAAATCTCCCAGATGCTATGCAGTTATTGCTCTGAAGGAAGAGTCATGTTCTTAAGTGGAAGCAAATTGCAGAGAGGTTGAAAATTCTGAACTGATACTGTTGTTTCCTCTCTTTAATTGATTCCTTAAGTACACTGTTTGCTTTTCAGCTGCAAGAGAAAAAACTGCAATACCTCTGAATCTTCAGAAATAAGTATCTCCTTTATAAATATGATGGCTTCCTTATGTCAGTTATTAAACAATGTTGAACATCTGACTTTATTAAAAAAGTTATGACCTATACTGTGTGATTGCTATTTAAAATAGTTTTTATGTTCCTTCTTTCTAAGGTACTATGCTTATGTATCAATACCCTTTCTCTTGATATTTCTAATCTCAAGATTATACCTGGTATCAGCAGTCTCAGACAAGGCTCACTTTTTTTCTTTTCTGGGTCCAGATGCTGCAAAGTATAAACAGAAAAATAACCTGCACTGTAAACAAGAGGCTTATAGACTAAATAGAATTTTTGTGCTTCCTATTCTGCAGGTTATCAGGACCAGCTTATTTACAGACCAGTGTAAAAGAGCCTAGATAATGACTACCTGCAGAGGACAGTTTTGTATTAACCCTTTCCTCCTTCAGGCATTTTTCTGGCATGCACTTGTTTGCCTGTCACTCTGAAGAAAAAATGTATGTGTTCTAATCCAGTGGGAGATTTCCCAGTGCTAAAGAATCAGCTGCCCTGCTGGGGTTCACTCTGTAATCCTTGGGTTCTATTGGAAAGCTATTATCTAGCCAAAATCTGTTGGGTATAAATACTTTGGTACCTGGGTGAATTGAAACTTCCTAGCCAGTTTCTTGTTGTCTGTGCTGCATTCATGAGTGGGAAATTTATTTGTTGATGTGTTTATCTCAATGGGTTGCCTAATTAAACTTGCAGATTTTCCATGAAATAAAAAAGAGAAAAGTTTCTATTTTAAGTCCTAGTGCTTTTAATAGAATTTTCCAGCATATATAAAATATAATTAACTACTAGTGCACAGAAAAAAAAAAGGACAAGTAAATAATAAAATACAGCATTGAAGAAGAAAAGGGGAGAATACACCTAGAAGATGAGAATAATAGAAAATATTTTTATACTAATTGTTTAGCAACAGTAATAGTGATGGGAGTCAGACTGAGATAGAGATGTGAGTAGGAAAGAATCTTTTTATGTTGCAGTTTGCAAAATATAATGAGAGCTTGTGAACATGGCCATTCAAGAAAAGAGAAGTAAGGTATTTTCTAACAAGTCACATCTTTATTGATGTATTCACTTGGAAGAAATACTTCTTTTTTTGTGTGTAAGTTCTCTGCTATCTATTTTGGAACTCCCAGTCCTTATTAGCTCCATGGTTCCAGTATGAGCTTCTCACATTTGTTTGGTCCCAGTACCTTCAATCCTTAGAGCTACTGAACACCTTCAGTACCCAAGAAAATTAACAGAACTGCAGGTGCTCCCAACATCTTTGCAGTAGAGCTAAGAAGAGAAAAATGAGGCCTTCCATATATGCACCTTTTGTTATATATAGAGTACCAAGGAAACTAACAAGCTGCTGAATTCTTTTCCCAGAAGAGGAATCAAAAGAAAGAAAATCCTTTCCTAACCGCTAGGCATCTGGAAGGAAAAGAATATCTGAAATAAAATATCTGAAATAAAAGGGGAGTCTAAAGTACATGATGTTAAAAAGAAAAAAGATGAAAAAAACCCTTAGAAAAATAGGGTTTATTACATTATGTTCTGCTAAAACATGACGACTAATTATTAGTGAAATGTTATAGTGTTGCCATCCCTATCTTATGTGCTGCTGGAAAAATGTACTTGGGGAAGAAATTGCCTTTTTTTTTTTTAATTAATTGATTCTTCCACTTTTTCAGACCAAATACAAAAACTGGGCATATATGATGTCCAAACAAAGAAAGCACAGTTTCTCACTGAAAGCAAGGGCTTAAAAAGTACCCTGTTATGGCCCAAAAATATTCATTTCAGCAAGTCCCATCTGGTTTAATCTGAACACAGTCAAAATTGCAAAGGGTATACAGACTATTGCTAATTTTGTGTGTAATGCTAGATAAATTCAAAGTTAAATTTTTATTACTATCTTAAGAGGAAATTTACAACAGTTTAGAAAAACAAGCACATCTCTAGGATTAGCACAGTGCTTTTCTGCTGATTCAAAAAGTTCTGAATAAATTTGCATTCCCTCCCCCATCAGCTTCTCAAGCTCTTTCAGTACTTTTCATGCACTTTGTAGTCTATGCAGGCAAAGACAGAGGCAATGTGCTTCTTAGAATAATAACTATCAAGAGGTTTATATGATGAGTTTGCATTCAAGTAGTCAGTTGCTGTCTGCTCTCAAAGCTGTTTCAAAGCTTTGGATGCCTGAATACCTATGGGTTACTATTTACACAATGGAAAAATCCCTGACAGTAATCAGGATGAATAAAAACATTTTCCTTCATGGTTATTGCCAGAAGTTCTTCCATAATGAAAACTGTACCCTAAATATGATGAAGTCTTTTGATAGGAAAGAATCTCCATTTTCTTTCAGGGTGACACACTGCTGTCTGTGTTGATATGCTGCCTAAGGAACAGAGGATATACCTGTTTCCCATCAGGTGTTTGCCTGGTTCTGTTCGTGGCACGGCTATGCATTCTGCAGCAGATTTGGAATATTTTATTTATTTTTCTTAGGACTTGTCATGGGTTGAAATTGCCCCCCCCCCGAGAATTCGGGGGGGCTCAGAGGTGATTGGGTGCCAGGGCAGTGTTCCCTGGAGAGCCAGTCACCGTCCATGTTGTTCGCTTCTGCTCAGAATCATATATACACAGCACCAGAAGCTGGAGGGGAGAGGGGAGCCCTGCGGCCCCCCAACTCTGCCTGGGCCGGAGTTAGAGGCAGCCTTTGGAGTGTGTGCTGTGAAGGAAGAGATTTCACAGCACCTGAGAGGTAAGAGGGAGGAGGCTAGGCCTTCTTCCCCCCCACCCCTGCAGCTGCGGGACGCTTGAGATGGTGTATAGCTGGACCGAGCTGCCTGTGGCCAAGGCTAGGGGGCTTTTCCCCCCCCACTGCATTTAAGACTGGTGGGGGATGGATTTTAAGGCTCAGCATTTAAGCAGAGCCAAGTGGACGGGCTGCTGACAAAGTAGCTCGGAGCTAGGGAAAGGAATCCCAGGCAAAATTGGAGACGGACCGAAGAGAGGCCCGGAGGATGTCTCTGCTGTGATCTAAACGGAGGACAGCCGAAAACCCGAGGAGGAATCAACATTCCAGGGCACAGATGCTTGATAAGCTGAACTACACTGCAACAGCCTACGAACCGAGGTATGTGACTGAGAGAGAAAGATCACACAGCAGCAGGAGAGAAAGGACTCAAAGCTACTTTCTTGGACTTTGTGAGAAGAAAAACTATAACAAACAGCTGGAGCTTGGTGACGGGGGAGCGTTCGGGCCCCGAACACTCCCACGAGGGAGAGACTGGTTACATATCAGCCTTGAAAGGCTTCTTCCTGGACTAAAGTTAAAAGGAAGGGCTTAAAGGACTGATAGAAATGTAAAAATATATATATATATATATAGTTGCTTTTAGTTTGTACAGTATATTTATTTGTGTAAATAAATGTATATGCTTCCCTTTCCCCTATAGAAGCCTCTGGCCTGAAAGTTTCTCTCTGGTGATGGGATAAATGTGGGAAGGGGTGGTGGGGAAGCCTGGAAATTGGATTTTGGATTTCTAATGTGGCTCAAACTGCCACAGGGCTGAAACCTGTTCTTAGATGGAGGAACAAGAGTATATGCAAGGTGTGTGTGCAACACACATGTTTTAACCCTAAGATCTCCAAGCCTGCTTTTTTCACAACAAACTTTTAATTCTGCAGATCTAGTGTTGTTCCTCAGGGGTCAGTATTGGGGCTGGCAGTGTTTAACATCTTTGTCAGTGACATGGACAGTGGGATCAGGTGCACCCTCAGCAAGTTTTTCAATGACACTCAGCTGCATGGTGCAGTCAACACGCTGGAGGGAAGGGATGCCATCCAGAGGGACCTAGACAGGCTTGAGAGTTGGGCCTGTGTAATCCTGATGAAATTCAACAAGGCAAGTGCAAGGTCCTTTGCTTGTTTTGTGGCAATCCCAAGCACAAATATAGTCTGGGCAGAGAATGGAATGAGAAGAACACTGGGGAGAAGGACAAAGAAGAATGGTCTTAAGCTGAAGAAGGGTAGGTTTAGATTAGATATTAAGAAGAAACAGTGAGGCACTGGAACAGGTTGCCTGGAAAAGTTGTGGACTCCCCATCCCAGGATTGTTCAAGGCCGGGCTGGATGGGGCTCTGAGTAATCTGGTCTAGTGAAAGGTGATGTGACACACTGGATTATTATATTGGCTTGGAGCAACTCAAGTGTGTGTGTGCAGGAGGGGGGGAGGGAATAAGTCGAATCTCACAGAGGTGAGGTCACGCCTTGTCCCACACTGTAAGACTCCAAGCTCTGGGAGCTGCCAGCTCACCAGCTTGGCTAGGACTTTTACTTTAGTATAAAGCTGTTCCGGGGCTTCCCCATGTGGGCTCCAGGGGCCTGCCATGAGGGATATGACATCACCCCACCTCCATGAGGTTCGACCCATCCCATCCCCCTCCACACACACACATGCTCCCCACAAGGTGGTTCTGACCCAATAATCACTGATCTGGTGTCTAACACACACAGCAGCCCTGCGACACCCATGAGGCAGCCCGGGAGCACTGCCTATAGCAGCCCTAGGAGCCCCTGGCCCAGCCTCAGATTGTCTGGCACAGCGGGAGCACCACCCCTCACCCCGGACTCCCAGAGTGGCCAGTGGGCCAGAAGTCCCACCTGGAAAGGGTGGCCACAGGGGCCAGAGTAGATAAACCAAAGACACATGATCTCCACGTGTTTGAACCCACCATTTTCTAGACTCCTGTAGCTGGACCTACACTGGATCTAGGAATGGTGGCTATATATCTCTTTTTATCTCTCTTTCTTTTCTTCTTTTTCTTCTTCCAATCTCTTTTCTTAATATTTTGGGTAGCTGGATACCAGATGGGTTGGATTTAGCTAAGTTGTATGTGTTAGCATGTGCTAAGTCAATAGTTTGTGGAATGCTTTGTTTTGGTTGTATGCTACCCTTTAAACTTTTGCCAAGTACTCTTATTTTTTCTGCAGTTTACCAGTAAAGTACTTCCTGAGAAAACGTGTGTTGTGTCTTCTCCTTTACGCTCTCTCTTAAGATGTTAAAAGA